TAAACATTATTCATTAGAGATATTAATCACTATAGTACAGTATTATTTTTTTTTAGTATAGTATTGTATTTTTCATAAAAAAAAAACAAATATAATAATTAGTAAACGTAATTTAGTCAGCCATATTTTATCTGAATTTTCTCTATATACTGTGCGAGGTGAGCTTGGAGCGAAGGGCCAGATTTGTGAGGGTCCCGGCAGGTGCGATCGCCCTCCGTTACACGGTTCAATAGTCACTGTCGATCCTCCCGTACAATATATCATAACCTCGTAAACATTCACCAAATTAAATGACTGGCTATGGCTAGATTGCGAAAACAAAGAAATCTTGAACCAGGATAAATTAATCATATAATTATTTATTTTTATGCGTGTATGGTGTAGCTTCCCGTAGGTGAGAGAGTGTTCATTATATGATCAGTATATCCGAAGATTCCCTTTACAAACAAAGTCAGAAACTTTAACTCTTTATAATGATAAGTAAGGAAACTTTTTATGATTATTATAAAAACGATATTTCTGCCGTGTAGGTACGATTCCGGTCGTGTCATTATAGATAATAAAGAACCTATATTATCTCAATTCCATACCTTTGTTATTTCAAATTTGCATAGCGCACGGGTTTTAACTACTTGCTTAGTTGATAAACCAAGCACTGTATGTAACATTATCTAGTTTATTTTATTTATAATAATAATAAAATCCATTATATCAGTGTAAGATAAACTATAAAATAAGATAAAATATTGTTTTCCAAGGAAAACTATTGTCCCAAAATGGATCCAGCTCAATATATGTTCATATTGTGCTCAGCGCTGATCTTCCGCTATAACCGATATTATATAGGTTATAACGGAAGTTCTATCGCAATCCCTTTCCATGTGAACGATTAACACCCGGTTTTTGAATTGAGAATTTAAAGTTAAGCACGCCTCAAGCCGTACTTAAACCATCTTAAACGTCTCTTAACAGGTTTTCGTTTCTGATTTTAATTTTTTTAACGATCCTGACAGCAGTTTGAAAAACTAGGACTTTTTGCCGCGTGAAACGTAAAAAAACTGAAGTTATTGAGAATAATCATCAAGTTGAGATTTTGTACTATTCCCAATTCAGAAACCGGCCGATTGTTAATTTGATGTAAATTGGAATTGTCCAAGCCAAAAGTCAGACGCAAGTAGGTATTACTTTACATTAATTTTTTCTCATGTATCTTGGTCATTCAAATCATCATTCGTTACGTAAGCGATTGCCACTTTAAACGATACATAATTCCATAAGTCGCTATCAAAAGGACTTTACCTTTGAGAGGGATCGCGAAAACACAAACAATAACACGTTTTTGAACATGAGTAATTGATAGAACTATATGGAAAACGTATACATACACCTAAAAGATTACAACAAAAAAGTACAAACAGTTATACACCTACTCCTAATAGGTATAGCAACATTTATCTAAAACACCTGCTGGGCCATTGAGCATTAATTGTACCAGATGTTCCAGCAAGCGCCTTAGGGGCACGGGGTTACCCTAATAAGCCATTGTTCATCGTTATCAAACATCGATAAATTATAATATTTTCATCGGTAATCAACACCAAATGCTTTTGGCTTAAAAAATACCTCCCTCTTATAAATGCTAGATACCGTAGCTATGCCAGTTTTTTTCACTGTAGGTAGGTTATTAGAAACAAAATAAAAATTTTAATAAAAATAATCTCCTTTATCTTAAAAAAATAACTTAATTAACTTAATGTTATAAATTTTAGAAACTAAAAATTTACCTATTATTTGAGAATGTTGAATTTCGACAGGAGTCGAGTCGAGATTGACGACAAAAAACATTAAAAAATAATAAACAAGTATTATCTGTCTAATATAACGTATTAATAAATTACGGCGACATATTGAATTTAAATGTCACGTAACGTCATCAGTAGATTTTGTATATGTGACTAATAGATTTCCTTAATCTTACTGTAGACTAAATAGATTTTATTTTCCCAGGCCAACGGGGAAATTCTTAAAATGGCGAATCACTATCAAACCACGCATTTTTTTTATCGACTATTGATGAAGTTGACAAATAAACAAACTTTAATTTGAAATAATAAAAGCATTGTTTGTTTAATGTCATTTTCAGAGTTTCCCTACATCTATTATAAAAAAAAATATTTTTAGCTATAAACCAAAAATCTTTATTTCGAGATTCATGTAAAATGTTGATATTGCCTAAAGAGAGTAAAGAGTGCACAATTATTTTCCTCCGTAATTCACTCGATGAAAATCAACTCTTTAAAAATAGATTGTTAAGTATAGGTATACTTAACCTATACTTAAGTTAGTTGCTTTAAATAAACGAACATAAATGATCATTACGCACTATACGAAAATACATCATTAAGAATTCGCGATGGTTAATGATGAAATAATAGGCCTGATAGCGGGCACGATAGGAATGTAATTTGTGTAAAAGTAGAATATTATATTGAGGAACCGAGCCACCCGTACCAAGCGCCGACAACCGCGAGAAAAAAAACTACCCTATGACCAAACAGACAGCCATTACCTCTCACAGTACCGTCGTTCACGGCAAATTACTTGGAAACTTTTACTTAGTGTATACGTAACAACTTAATGCCTACTATCAAGGCCCTGAAACATAGGTAACTAAAAAACCGTGGGCCACCCTCACACCGCAATCGTGACCTAGATAAGATATAGGAAACAAAACAAATGACTAACGCACACACGTCGTGTCAGTCAGCACCTCGTAGTATTAAATTTATAGCGAGGCAAGTTCCTTTCGCGACGCGAGACGTCTAAACTGTAAAATGGCTGAAGTGTATTCGATGAGGTTTTCACGAATGTTTAGTTATGGCAATCTGGTTAGGCGCAGTTGAGTCCAAATGGGTGGAGGCACGCTAACTCGCGAAGAGGGTTTCCAAACCAATTAAGGGTTTCACGAAAGCATGGGAGAGCTCGCAGCTGGGATGGCTCGATGGTACTCAGTCGGCGGCTATAAGAGAGGAACACGCAACCCGCACTGCCTTAGCTGACTGTTTATAAAACGCGGGACAACAAAATCGTGTGTATATTTAACGGTAAAGTTTTAACAAGCTATTTTATCACAATACACCACAATTCGAAAGTTTTTATTTTTGTATTGAATCCTAGAATGGCACTATTTATACCGAGTATGTATTTAAAATATGACTAGTTTCTGCCATCGAAATTGTATATATAGTTGACATAATAAATTTGCATTCAAAATGCTATATTAAAAAAATATATAATAAAAATACTTAAAACATCCACCATCCCCAGTTACGCTGAGATAGGACTCGCAGCCACGATCTTTCACAATGCGGGCGACTGCTCTAACCACTGAACTACCCCTTTTTCTTTTATTCCAAATATTATTAAATTCGATCAAGTTTTTTTATAAAAACTACATTAGTAGTAATTATTTCAACTTTTAACAAATAGTCCCCTTCAAATTGTAATTAATCTTACTTAAACTTCGGGTTTTTTTAATTTCCCAATTGTCTGAATAAAATATTTTTCTGTCCTCTAAAACCTTACCCGCTCTTGATTGTTCTATGTTACGCTCAAAGATCGAAATCGCACAGCGAAAAAAAACTCACAACGCTTTGTGACAATGAAGAAAATCCATGAAGCGTATTGATCCATAATTGATTAGGTTAGGTTAGGTTAGAGTATGACAAACAACGCACGAGCCGAGCGAACAAAGCAAGCGTGCTGCATGAGCCATTTCGATCTATGAGCGTAACATATCCATTTCCGTTTTTCCTATATAAGATGAGATGGTGGATAAAAAAAAATCTATTTTATATTATCGATGTTAACAACACGTTTATTTTATTATAAAATCAAATTATTACTACATTACATTAAAATACTTATGGGTTTGGCTTGATGAACAATCTGGTAGGTACTCATATATATAACTTATATGTATTTAAAAATATAATATTTAGGTATAAAGGTGGTAATTTCATAGTGTTTCAAAAAAATCATAGAAGCCGAAGTGTATACAGTCGGTATTTACAATAGCATAAAAGGTATTTGAAATAGCTGAATTTGAAAAAATGGCTAAATAAAACTAGTCAAAGAATGTAAAGCAGTGACAAATAGCCATTCTCTTCACATGCCTTATTGAAAGCACTTGTTATATACAACTTATTTTAAGCTTCAATTCGATGTAAGTTAACTTCAATTTCAATTTTAATCTGTAATTTTATAATAACCTGATTTACTGCGGCCTACAAGCGTGAACTAGGTATATAAAAACAATATTTCTGTATGTGAAACAGACCATTCTTGCTCTCCGTCAATAAAAAAATGCGGGCAATAGGATTAATTTGGAAAACCAATTATTGTTAGCTTGTTAAATTAAATATTTAGTTAAATATAATATTTTAACAAAAAGCTATTACGTTTTATAGACACCGGAATCGCACAAAATTTTCCTGTTGACAAAACTGACGCGGGCTGCAATATTGTTCTCTATATTCGTGTACGATATAATTGTCTAGATGAAACAGATGTTTCATCGTGGAATTGTGTATTATAAACTCATTGATTCTATCGATTATAGTTACTATTTTATTTATCAATCGAGAGATACAGTTAATTAACGTTAAGTTTATTTTTACGCAAAGATTAATATAACATCATATGTTCGTAAAACATTATTCTCTCTTTCGGCAATCGAATAATAGTAATACATTAACTGTCGTTAGAAATCAAGTTCACGTACGAATAACAAAAACGGTACAGTATCCAGTGCGAAAGTACGTACATTTTTTATGGATTTATTAATATAAATCTTTCACAGAAATATCTTAAATATATTAACTATACGTATTATTTTTTCACTTTTTTGGAAGCTTGTTTATTATTTTTTTTTTATATTTCAAATTTTTGCGTAGGATTTGTTTTCGTGCCGGGTACTTTACCTACACTAATAGACTTACGCATATGAGCTGTATCTGTAGTCTTCTTCCATCTGCTGATGTCTTATTTGATATCCGGGGTCTACGTTGTATTCCGCGGGGGCGACCGACCAACTCCCATCGTAGTTGTAATAATCACCATACCCCATCTCATTATCACCCATCATTCTCATCCTACACTTAATATCCTCTCACGAACACACAAACATCAAATCCACTAAACTAATCCAATCAGTCAAAATACTACTAATCTTTATAACTTCAAATCTCTACCGATAAATCCAAAGTATAATGATTATTAGATATAAATCAGTCTAGTACCGCAAGAGAACTGCATGCGATTCTATCGACTGATCGATGCCTCATCGGGCGTTATCAATAAAATTGTGTCGTTATCATATCAGCCAGCTTTCCCCCGCGATATGGGACTTTTATAAAACTCTACTAGTCGCACCTAACCATGCCAATATTGCAGATAGTATAGATATACGTTATCTATGTCAGATGTAATACTGTACGTGTAAACCGCTGCTGTCAATAGGCTATGTTTAAGAATCGTGGAACGACAGGTGATGCTAACGAAAACTTTGATAAATACCTATCAACGGACTTGTATCTTATCACGTATTTATAAAGTTTCATAAACGCTGTATCTATGCGTCATTAGTTAAAAATCTCCGGATTTATCCTACCAAAATAAGTCAACATGTGTCAACTTGATGTTTACTTTGCTGACTTTAACAGTTATCTTTAGGTAGCCCATGGTTTAAGCCTCGTAAAGTACTAACTTTAGTCCATGATTTATAAGACGGTGTGTTCTTCAATAAAACTCATTCGTACTCGCGACCTAGCTAGAGGCGGTCAATTCAAATAGCAATAAACTAAGTTTTAACATAAGAAAATACGTTTTTATTTATGTAAATAACTGAAACAAGTAACTTAGTATTTGTGGTTCCTAGGCCGGTTTCAATGTGTAGATTACCGACCGGGTCAATGTAGAAAATGAATTTTCTATATTGTCTCGGTTCTGGGTATTGTTTAATATTATTTATTGATATTAAAATAAATCCAAAGTAGGTAAAATTAGTGTTGCTAAATTAGTTTGGAAAATTTTATGACAGAATTAGCACTCTCTCTGGCAAAAAAATTACCAATCACAAATCTGTAAAAAAATGCCCACAATTTTGTATAAACGATTGATATCGTTTGAAATCTTAGTTTTATTCAATTAGAAAGACGATCATACATTATAGTAAATATTGTCTTTAAACGAATGGTAAATAAAAAAGTGAAAAATTTACTTACAAATCACATGTCATAGCTATTGGAAATAATATAACGGGTATATCTAGATGAAATTCCTGCCAATTTTATTATTTACTTTATAAAAAGGTTAGGTTGTACCTCTGGTGGGACTCGAACCCACAATCCTCGGCTTAGGAGGCCGATGCCTTATCCATTGGGCCACAGAGGCGCGCGTCGGAGCGGCCCGAGCGACGACTCATATTCAGCGCCTACGCTTGCGTCACGCAGCGCGTCACTGCGGGTGCGTCCACACCGATAATAATTAACGGAAACCCATTAGACATCATACGTAATCTATCGCTGCTTACGCCGCTAAGGTGGACACCTCTCTACCGTATAGGATTTCCGTGAAATCTTAACCACATGTATTTTCCTTATATTTTCTCCAAAGCTATTATAAAGAAAATGTAATTATATTAAATCCTCTCAATACTAGTTTTAAATAAAACTGAATGATAGATACTTTTGTATCAATAAAACTGTTAGGTTAAAAAAACTAATTCGATTACAAATATATTCCACTTGTTCGAGTACAATGACCTTTAACATCTGTTACCTGAGAGGCCACATGCATATAGTACCACACGTGAACGCCTTCATGATGTGTAACTTTGTCTTCTGTAAATAACTACTGTATATGTCAATGAAAAGATATCTCCTATTCATACTTCCATGAAGTATGAGTTGAAGAGATATGCAACATTTTTTTAATTTTGCCACACAATAAGACCGACTACTGTGATATTACAATGAACATTCGTGTTTCGTATAAGCAGTATTTGTTTTTTTGTAATTATAGGTCTATTGCCGTTTTCAAGCCAGTGTTGCAGAAACAGTTCGAAGAAATTCTATGGAAACTACTGTAGAAGAAAACTAGAATCGGTTTTAGTTACAATTTTCGTTTTGGACATTTCAATTTCGTAATCGTTTGGGGACTAACAGCCAGTTGCTCAAATGTCCATTATAATCGGCTTTAGTTTAAAGCGGTATTACTAGTACAAATTTGACATTTATTAGAGCTAAAGGCGTCATTAAACCTTTAATGGACGTTTGTGCGACTCGTCTTCAGTAATTCGGCTTTTACGCTGCTTTTAAGTGACTAGCTGTTTGCTGCGACTTCGCCCGCGTTAGTTATAGCCTATGTCACCCGAGGATGCCTTAGTTTGTCATATTAAGTGAAAGAATTTTTAAAATCGGTCCAGTATTCTCGGAGCCTATTCAATACAAACAAACAATCAAATCATTCCTCTTTATAATACTAGTATAGATAAAATAATAAATCAGTGGGCTAATTTTAAAATCTATCGCAAATCATTTCAAAGGCGATTATGAATTGCTTCCGGAACGAATTATGATTTGAATGATCAGGAAAGTTTCAAAATTTAGTTAAACCCGTCTAAAGATTGCAGTTCTTCTTCTTCTTTTTAATTAATGGCGTCGCCCTTATGGATTTCGCCAGAATCCTGTGTTGCGTTCAGATTACTTCATATTTTAGTATTTTATAAACTCTGCTTTTTGTATGTTGGTAGAGAGAGCCCAAGTTAAAAAGTGAGCAGTGAGCTCTTTCTACATTAATCGCTTTGTATGGACGTCCAGTTTAGGATATTTTTTCTTTCAATATCACATGTCGAATAGTTGTTTATTGAAATGGATTTCGATAAATGTTAAATGAGAGCCTTTCAAAAAGTTAAGATTTCATTTAGAAATGAGAGGTTGACGCTATTGGACTGTCGAACAAGCTTACCTGTTAATAAATATTATCTCAGATATTATAAAACATTAGTGTGTTTACAGCAAAAAAAAATGTTGCTAACATTATTTATCTACCGAAGATGCTTCAATATGCGTATTTACGTATTAATTAAATACTTATTAGTGACTCGAGAGACTGTACCATAAATGTTGAATTGTGTTTAATACGCAATCAGAGCCTTATTATTGAATTTAAAAATCTGTCGTAATAACTTTCAATTCGAAAGTTATTCACGAACTTTAAGCTACATTGTTTGTCATCTAATAGCGATTGCAATCGTGACGTCTTTTGAAAAATATTGCATGAGCGATATCGTTAATTTGACATTGATTGGAGTTATTATATATCTGTTGTTATTGTCAAATATTGCTGGTTCACGATAGAATTTTTCAGCCGAGAAAGCACCATTTTCTAACTTATGAAAATCACACCAAGCTTCCAATACGAAAGAGACGGAATATCTCTCCGTCTCTACTTGCACACGCGTATTTAGCACGCAAGGGGATCAAAGTAATGCTTTATTGTTTGTGTTTATAGCTGTCCCTTGGATACCTGTAATTATAGCATATAGGACAGACTAATCTATAATATATAAAGCTTATTTTTTTATTATAATGCAGCAAAATTTACATAGTAACAAATTTATAAAAATCTACATCAATATTCAAAACATTCGATAATGTTCTGGCGTAAGTTCAGATTTGGGTTGAATTTAAAAAATGTTTTTTATGCTTAAAAAAGTCTATTTAGTTCATTTACATATACATTCAATTATAATCATGGAATATAAACAAACTACATTTATTTTAATATATCACACTGTATACAGTTTTAATTACATACACTTCACATTGCATTGCGCTTGATCTTATTTCATCATTTTTATTTGTTTCATTATAAAAAAGGTTCGATACCTTTGAATTTATTATATTGGTTTCACTTAAACAAATTCACTTATACCAAGCTAATAATAAATAAGTTCTAAATTAAATATTTACGTGCAATTTTTACATTTGTATATATAGAAATGTTTCTGGACCTTAAGGATATACAAATAAAGTGGGTTTTCATTTAAATGGGAAGTAAAACACTAAAACTTGACTTTTGCAGTACAGGAATAATGCAATATGTCTCCGTTAGGGTATCGAACGAATGCACTTTGGTTTCCGAATCGCTTCTTGCACACTGGACACACGTTGTAGTCGTTAATAACTACGCTTTTTGATTCGTGGTACTGTTTAAGTTCTTGTACCTATATAAAAAAAAAAGAAATACAAAAAATATAAATATATTTTCTCGGATTTGGACGTTTTGGTGCCTTCGTTTCGGATTTCCGTAACACATCATCATTATCAGCTTATTAGTGTCCCTGCTGCTGGGGCTCAGGCCTTCCCTATGGATGGAATAGAATCAAATCGAAGCAGGCCCAGTGCGGATCGGTGGGTATAAACGACTGCAGATGCAGCCGGGCCAACAGATTAACGTGCCTTCCGAAGCGCGGAAGAGCTCGAGATAATAAACTACATTATCTCGAGTCTGCGGGTTGTGGAATTTTCTTCGTTACAGATTTCTATACCGCAAGTGGTCTAACTACTTAATTTAGGATTTTAATGTATGTGATGTAGTCCAATGCATGGATAGTTACATGTATTTATTCAATTCCTATATTTCACTAAATGATCATCATCATCAGCCCCGTTACGTCCCCACTGCAGGGGCTTAGGCCTTCCTTATGGATGGTTTAAATAGAATGGGCTAGAACCCTCCACGCTGCCGTGGTGAAATCGTCAAAATCAGCCAGGCTTAACGTGTCTTCCGAGACATGGAATAACTCGAGATAATAATTTTTTGGTCACCCATCCCATGACCGACCTTTGTGAAAGTGGCTTAACATATGCTGCTTTATATTAATATATATACAAAAACATTATGTTCATTAAAAAGATAAAACGATCATATTACCTGCATGTGTTCAGCGTATAATAAGCCTTTGAGGACTTGAGTTCGTCGCTTCAGAGTCAATTGACTTTCCAAAGCACTCTCTAGAAAATGTTTGAGCCGGATGAGCGGCACCGAATCCGGTAATACTGAAAGAGCCTAAGAAAAAAGTAGTTTACAATTTAATATAATTTTATATCATTTTGAATATTATAATTAATGGCAATCATCAATGCTACTACAATAGGGGTACAGACAACTTTTTTATAGATATACATGAAGTGTATAAAAAAATATACACTTCATGTATATCTATAAAAAATTCTCCAAGTTCCATCTCTTACTCATATCAGTATGTGTAAGAGGTGCGTGACGTCACGCGCTGTTTGCGGTCACGTGACAACGAGTTTAAATATTTTTCGTTTCATAATTATTTTAAGCAATATTATAAATATAATAAGCATAAAAGTGTGATTATCGGTAATAGTATATTAAACACTACCAGAAAAAAAATGTATTTATTTTCTTTTACTGTCTACACCCCTATTGACATATTCTAGACACAAATTACCAAGTAGTTACTGATATCATACTCTTCAGTAAAATGTTCTGCAAAAAAGGGGATCCAAAGCATTCGCTTCGCGTATTAATATAATGATGATGAAAAACTTCACCTTCAAAGGTGATATTTGATCAGCATGTTTCTCTAATATAGACAGGGCCGTCTCCAGGTCCGGTGCGGCGGTGGCGGGGTGTCGCGGCACGTCCGCTAACGGACCGCTCAGGGCCGTACTCTTGTCGGGGTTCATCAGTATCCTCATCAGTATCACATACACGTCTCGGTTCTTGTCTTTGCCATTCTCACACGCGTTCTCGCAATATTTTATTGCTCTTTCCACGTCTCCTACAGTTTTCAAATTCAAAACGATATATTATAGTCGGACTCAAATAGATTTAGACAAATAATAGGTACTATTGTCTAATAAAGCCCACTGAGTTTGATAGTTGGAGCGAGTTGGAAATAGGTTTAAATTATAAATATGCTGTCTTTACTGATCGGTTGGAGCGGCACTGTAATTAAGAAGCGTTCTTGATTATTTTTAGCACTCAAGTAGCAAACAATATTGGGCCTTATTTGACGACAGTACCTTATATTTGAAAACGAAGTAGCTCTGTTTATCTGTTACGGCAAACCTAAGATTATAGTGATAAAATTTGATACGAGTAGAAATAGTTTGAGAACTGTAAAAAAAACATAGGTCACTTTTTATATATAAGTATGTCTATAACATTCATGGCGTACGATGCAGTATTCATTCATTTATTTACTTTAATATGGAGGTTAAAGGTGAATCCTAATACATAAATAATTTTTGACAACCCAATTTAATTAAGAGAATAAGTGGATATGATATACTAACTAAGCAAAGCAACATGTTGATTTTCTATAGTTCATATTGAATTCTACATATTATATCTTAAGGTTAGAAAGTGAGTGGAGAAAATTTATAGTTATAATCATAACTAAATCCGTAGATCTGATATATTAAAATGCTCTTGAATAGTGGTTTGAATATATTAACAAAAGATCATATTTACATAAGGACTTACATTATTTTTATCAGTTTCAGGTTTTAAAAGTAGTTATGAGTTATATTACTATGAAAACTATACGAATCTCACCTAATATTTGGACGTATATCGCCAAAGCCTGTTCATGTCTGCCAAGTTTACCCAATATGATAGCTCTTTCTTCAAACAAACTGTCAGTGGGAAAATGCAAAATAACCCTCTCCGGCGAGTAATGGGGTGATTTCTCCAGGAAAGTCACTAATTTAGATTTAGTATGTTGGTACTCTTCTTCGGTGATTTCCGCTTTTTTTGTTGTAATTTTATCTTTATACATTCTAATTAATGCATCATGAAATGTTGAATTCGTGTCATTCCACGTGTGTATTAAATGTTCTAGATAAGGAATAACGAGATTATCATGTTCTCTGAGGAGGAAATCAAGTATCTTTGGACGGGGCAAATTCTCCACTTCCACAATGTCTTCTGTGAATATTTTCAAACCTTCTTCCGGATGCTCTTTCAGTATCCAATCGGAGAATTTAAATATAAGATGTATATGATCAGCACCTGTGAAAGTAATAATCAGGAATAAAATAATTCATAATTGTTAAAACGGTCGCCCGGATTGCGAAAGATCGTGGGTTTGTGTCCCATCTCAGGGTACCTTGGGACAAAGCGGATTTATTAAGAATTTTTCATTAAGAATCCTATTGAATACCTAAAGAAAATTACGTATATTTTCAAAAGATTAATATGACTCCAGAGAAACTCATTTTCTAGAGAAACACAGATAATCTTCAAGGATATATTAAAATATTTATAAGAGATTCCAAATTTTCATTAGTGAACAACAGAGTACCTCTGCTTATCAGAATGAAATTGTATTTAATTCCAACTGCAACATGATTTTAGAAGACGAGATATGCTAGAGGCAGTAAATTATTGATCACCCATCCGATTTCATCCATTGCAAAAGTCACTGCATCATTGGCGTCACATTAACCTTTACTATTGAAAAAGATAGCATGTAATTTATGTTTTTAATAAATGAATAAAATACATAGCAAATTATTTTCAATACATGATGTTCACGTTATAAACTATCCTTAGAGTATATCAACCTCCTTTCTAGACTCCTTAAAAAGAAAATATTAATATGTTACCATAGCAACAGATCTTGTTTAAATATACCATATATTGATGAATATCGTTCCAGTACCAGATGAATATCGTTTTATTTTAAATAAAAATAATAGTTCATTGAGCTATCGAATCAAACACATAGAATTATACTCTGTACATTTGCGAATCAATGGCTTAGACAACAATGTCGACCGACCTAGGTTCTGCAGATATTGCTTAGTCCTGTTGTATCCCTTGAGACTCGAGTCCGGTTGTTGAGCCTGATCTCGCAGCAGCTGCAGCGCTTTAGTGTGCTGCCCCTTCGTTTGGTAGAGGATGATGAGCTCGCTGTACTTGCTGTGCTGCAGCAAAGTCTTCTCCGCTTCTTCAAGCCTACAGTTGTTCAGGCGCAATAGGGGAGCTACAAACGCGTCATTCGTCTGAAATAGATGGGGAATGAATGAATAGCTCGGTGGCGTAGGAGTAGCTCGGTGGCGTAGTGGATTAGCGCCGCGGCCCGTGATCGTAATCGTTAAGTAACTTTCGCAAGGGTCGGTCACGGGATGGGTGACCAAAAAATTATTATCTCGAACTACTCCGTGCTTCGGAAGGCACGTTAAGCCGTTGGTCCCGGCTGCATTTACAGTCGTTAATACCCTCCAATCCGCATTGGGCCAGCATGGAGGGTCATGGCCCATCCTCCTTAACCATCCATAAGGAAGGCCTGAGCCCCTGCAGTGGGGACGTAAAAAGGGCTGATGATGATGATGAGATGGGGAATTAAAAAGGTTATGGTAGATAAAGGGAATTTTAATGATGATAATTTTTTACTTATTTTTTATTGCGATGCATATTTTTGTTAAGGACTTAAATTTGTTTTGCGACCCGATTAAGTACAAACAATAAATGTAGAAATATTATTTATCACCCTACTTTTTTCATCCTTGGAGCATAGAACAATATAGTGCACTTTTTAAGTGAACATAATCCCAAATCAGCCCTGCGATTCTGTAACAATCCAGACCCGAATTCGAATTCACTCATGTGTCCGAATTCTAGTCATTTAGTAAAGAAATCCTATTGATTCCATTTTTTGTATAAAAATACTAAACAAAATTGACTGATTAAACGTGTCATAGATATTTTAATCCTATATCATTTCGAAACTCACTTCACTTATTTCACGAAACATTATTACCAATTCAAGTTTGAGCGGATGCCGCTTTTTGAAGTGAATTCGGACACCCGAGTGATTTCGAAATCGGGTTTGAAGTTTTACAGAATCGCAGGGCAATTCCAGAGTTAAAACTAAATAATTCGATTAATGATGAATTTTGTATTGATGTCGAAGTATAAATTATAATATCATAATTCTGCGATTGTTCTAAAACAAACCTGTAAATAGCACTTCAATAAGGTGGTATCAATGAGCTCCAGCTGTTGCTGCAATTTCCTCTGATTACCCTGTTCTTGACTAGTGCTTGCGTCAGGTTTATTTTGCCCGATCATAGAACGCAAGTCCACTAAATACTCTATAAGCGCATTCAGAGCTTTCTCCAACTCTTTCCCTTTGAGTTTCTTATTGTTCGACGCTTCAGTCGTTTTTCCGTCTAAATCTGGAAAGAGTTCGATGACCTCTGCTGGGTCAGTGTTAAGTTTGATGAACTCTTTCATAGACTGAGAGTAATGCCCGTTGTCAAACAGATCGTAAGCGTACAGTCTTTGAATTGACCTTATCGATTTCTTTTTCTCCTCTTCAGAACAATCTGACAGTTTCTATAAATAAGAAAGACAATGTTGAATCAATAAAATGAGTACATTCTGGAAAATTTGCAATACTATGAAGAATATCTGATACTGCGTATTCTTTGATTGACAAACATAATTAAAGGAAAATCTGAAATTTTTAATATAAAAAAAAACATTGTTTTTTAATAAACAATTTGAAAATTTTGTTATTCTCTTAAAAATGCTTAAAAATGATTTTCGCGACATCGAAGGGATAAAAAATCATACATTATACTGTTCACTTCTTAAAGTATTTCGTTTTGCATTATGTTAATGTATATTTTAGAATTAAAATTTGAAAATCTGTATAAAAGAATATATGTTATACTGTAAAAAAAAATCTAATAAGTTATATTAATAAGTGTACTACTTAAGTACCTTTCGGTATATTTTATAGTTTTCAATACGACATACTCACTTGAACTAAGAGAGCCAACGTGCCTTGGCGATTCTTGACAAACATACTGTATTTATTTATATAAATAAACAATTTTGCTACACCAACTTCTCTAATTTGTTTAGCTAATTTATAACACTACTTCAATATGCCTTCTTTCAAATTAAAAATTATGCACTATCCAAAAATGCCTGTTTTCAAATTAAAAAATATCTATCACTACCTCAATATGCCACCTTTCAAATAATAAATAATTTATACACTGCCTCCTGGTTTCAAATTTAAAAAAATATATATTTATAACTTACATTCAATATACTAATGATCTGAGCTTGTCTTTTTTTTATCTTCCCTTTATACATATTGAACTACTAGTACTAGTACTTAGTAGAAGCTACAACAATGGTACTTTTTATCATACTGCTCATAATACTAATCATCATAATAGTTTAAAAGGGAAATGCCATTCATAAACTAAAAAAACCATTGCTGATTATAAAATTAATGAGTTGACCATTTTATCTATATGCCTAATGCAGTAAATAATGACTTGTTTTATGTTTATACTATTTATAAGCATGTATTATCAAAACATTAATTCTCGCTTTCTATATTACACTCTACTGTCGACGCATTAAGGTTTAAAATCATTTTGGGATATTTGAGGACATTGTATAACCTAATCTGTTGTTGGCTGTACAAACATACAAATGACATTTCTTCATAGGGTCGAATATCTTGTGGTAATATAAAAAAGTTAACACCAAGTTTTCTGAATAATGGATAAAGCTAAGGAATCTCGATATATTATAAATTACGGCGACGGTTGGAAGGCTAATGAATTCAAACGATATTTTTTTTGCAATATACAGTTATATATTTACATATCGAGAGTTCACCGGTCAAATATATTAATATTAGTTATAATAATCGGAATCGCCACATAAGTCGTTTGATCTCTGTTTTAAGGCGATCTGAGCAGATAAGTGGATTTCATACAAAACTTTTGTTATTAAGCTGTTTGCCCTGACATAAATAAGTATAGGGTTTAGGAGTGAGCAAACTATTTTCTTTTTCTCAAATACAGACAGTCTTAATGTTTAATATGCTGTACCTAAATCCAGATAAATAAAGATAATACATACATATTCTATAAATAGATAGATACATATTCTATGAAGAGCAACACCTGAGTGTCTATTGGATTATTTTCCCTAAACCGTTGTTGAAGTTTGAATCATTTATCCTGTTTCTAAATAAAAGTTATTAGAGATCATTGTGTTAATAAATACACAATTAGTTACGGCAATAACAACAGTCTTAGAACTATAAAAATTACACTAGTTGCAGTTTTTTTTTAAAGTGATATATTATCTCTTATCTTATAACTATAAAAAATAATATTTTTTATAGTGATAAGTTGCTTGCAACAGTGTTGCGTTAATTGTTCAATAAATAGAATGTCAATTTCAGTAACCCAAATATGTAACAGTAGATGGTAGTGGTGTAGTAATCATAATTGGCCAGAAGTTCAAAGATCTAATACTCTGTACTTTAAAACAGATTTAAAAATCTTAAAAAGTCTTTTAAATGAAAATTTATAAACTATTCTCCTAACTGTTAAAAACTTGAAAGGACCTACGAGCACTTCATTAACCAGATAAATAATTATTATGTTCATTCACACACTGGATACACACATATTAAATCGTCTAAGATCATAATCAATTACTTGAAAAAACATCAAAGTCTAAATAAGAATCACAAAATTCACATAATTTACTAAGCACTGAAATTTCTTTTAGTGTCTGTGTTACTGGGTAAACTAATCGAATATTTATAATACCACCGATGCACTTGACATTGTTCAGTATAAAATTATTGCTCAATTACGTATCACAGGAACGACGCTAACAGGAAAATAGGTAAACTATTTATTAAATAGATTCTATCCGTTTACAGTACCTACTATTATATTCATATACTATAATCCTGAATTGTGCTAAAACTCTTTTCTTCTAACTAAAATAGATTTTAATAAGAGCCTTTATGAAAACTAGAGTAACGCTCCTTGCGAAGCCCAGTCCCATAGGCATTCTTGCTATTAGTTATTATCGGATTTTGTTAATAATTTGATATGATTTAAGGTAATTGTAGAGTTTTTATTAAGATAAAATTTAATTTTTAGTATAAAATATATTGATATGTTTGAAAAGACAACTTTTTGCACACTGTACTTGCACAAACGTCAGTTTAGCCAGATGTCATGTTACCATGCTCGTATACATCATAACAACATCACACTATAAGGTACTCACCATCAAATCAATAGCTATTTGAAACTGTTTGTCTTTGAGCAGTTGCTGTCTCTGTTTCGTGACGTCAACCGAACTAAGACACCACACTTGGCCAACAGACGACACAAATATCAGACCTCTTTTACATCTGTAAATAATAACACAAAATTGGCTAGTTATATGCCGTCACCTGCAGGGAAGCTGGATAAAAGGTAACTTATATCCATTCGAAGTTATGTAAATCCAGTAGCTCACCATAAAATCCACAATCGATTGTGAACTCTCCCTTCAATGCATTACCGTATAAATTCAACTCGATAAATTTGAGTTTAAATGGCGTGTTATTGACTATACGCTTCAAATGGTAAAAGGGTTATTTCTATAAGGGTATATAGAACTAGCTTTCTTTCAGCGGCTTCAGCCGCGTGGTCCCTAGGGAATTGTTTAGCGGAATAAAAAGTACCTAACCTATACGTTAATCCAGGCTTAGAATTATCTTTAAACTAAATTCCTTCAGTAGTTTTGTTTAAGAAGTAACAAACATCCAAACTTTCGTCTTTATAATATTAGTAAGATTGTAACTCCTGTGTAAACAGCTTAATTAAATTAATAATTCATTCCAGATTTCCGATATCGATTCATATCATGACACGGATATAATTACAATGACAAATACAGACTATAAAATTTCCACTCCCATTTATATCCCTTTATCCCATATCCCTTTATGATGTTTTTTCACCGCTTATAATGTAGCCTTTTGAAATCGGTCCAGTTATTTAGGAGCCAATTCATTCAAAACTTGCAAAGCAAACAATCAAAACTTTTCTCTTTATAATATTAGTAAAGATAGACGCCCCTCACCTTGAGAGACCCCACTCAGAATTTTTGAAATAAACAAGAAAACATGGGGAATATAAAGTCATCATGGTCACCTGACAAAAAAACGATTTAGGAGGATGGAAATGCTTTTGAAGGTAGATTACTTAACATTCACTTAATTGACACACACTCATATGGAAATCATCTTAAATATGAATGAGAGCAAGAGAATGTGTGCGTGTAGTATTGAGAGAGAGAACGCAGCCAGAGCAAGTTGTAGTATGACTACAAGTTTTTATAAATAACAAGAATCACTAAACTATAGATGTAGATGCAACATAGATAAATGCTTGTGAGTCTCCAAATCCTCTTTTATATTCAATCAGATAAAAAAATGTAAGTTGATTATCGTATGAGATTATCACATCAATAATTTTTTTTTAAATTTCACTTAGAAACATATTGAAATACTACCTGTACATCAGTCTTGCTTTATTGAGTTCTGATATAGTTTGTATAAATAAAGGAGGCTCTACAGTCTGTACCCTCAATTCTTCAGGCATTAAACCTAAAATAAAAGGCTCATCCCAAACTGAAAACAATGATAGTTAAAATTAATAAAAAAGGCACAATAACTATAAATATCCAAAACAGAAAACCGAAACATATAATCTCACCTACACTTAAAGGTGCTTCAAGCCATTTTATAGTTTGCTTTATTTCAACATCTTTACTTTCTTCAACAAGAACTGATGTATTATCACGACCAAGCAAAAAAGATGTTTCAGAATATTTTGCTATTGTGGGCTCGAGAGGCTTTGAACTGCTAGCAGGGAAAAGTTCTTTTGGTTTGCCTGTTGAGAGCTGTAAATATCAAAAATTATTACTAATATATGCACAGAAATGACTTATAAATCTGTGTAAATATAATATTCTGTCAGAAATATATTATCACTTTCAACACCTTGTGTGTTCATAAGTATTGAGACAAACTTTTTACTGAAAAAATAAAATAAAATGTTACTAGCTGTTATTTTTTTTTACCGAGCCTGTCCCATGGACGAAACTACTACTACTGCTTTTTTTTACCGATTTTGAATTTAGTGTGTTAACTTTTAGTTTATTTGTATCGTAAATTCATTTGTCAATATTTTCTCGTGATGGAGGGAATGAAACAATTACGTTCAACTGTCATTTCGCTATATAAGGCGGGAAAAAATCGATGCAGATTTACCGGGAGCTGAGTTTTCCTGTAAGCCGTAACTTCGTCTATTACACAATACAGCGGTACAAAGAGACAAGTTCTCTGCAAGATAGCTAAAGGAGTGGTCAGCTAAGCTCTGTGAGGATGCCTGCGAACATTAAAATCATCCGAGAGCGACTTGGCCGAAATCCATGACACACTCAGAAGACAATCGCTCTGCAGACTAATATTTCGCGCGTTTCAGTGAACAGAATAGTGAAATATGATCTTAAGATAAAGGCCTATAGCCGAAAAAAAGTTAACTTTTTAAACGATCGTCTTCGTAAGTTATGACGCGAACGTAGTCCATTACTGCTGAGGAGACATGATGCCAGGAAGATACTCTTCACCAATGAGAATTTTTTACTGTCTAAGAAAAGTTCAACCGACAAAACAATATAGTGTACGTTATAAGTAGCAAGGATGTCCTAGCTTCTGCACGGAATGTCTCGCGTACTTATCATCCGGCTTGTGTGATGGTATGGTGGAGAGTTTCGTATGAAGGTGTCATTCCACTCCATTTCTGCCAACAAGGTGTCAAGGTGAAAGCCAAGAATTATCCAAAGTGACATTTTAGAGCCCGTGGTGAAACCCTTGTCTGATCCGTAATTTCACAATAAGGACTGGGATTTTAGCAAGACTCGGCGACATCCTATAAGGCAAAACGCACCCAAGCTTGGTTAAGGGAGAATGTACCGGCCTTCATCGCGGCGGACAAGTGGCCCTCCTCCAGCCCTTATCTCAACCTGCTGAATTTTTCTTTATGGAGTGAATTAGAGCTCAGGGCCTGCCAAAAGTCCCACCCAAACTTGGAAGTCACTGAAACGAATCCTTGTTCAAGAAGCAAAGCGAATTCCGCTAGAATAGATTCCAAATCGTCTAAGAGCCTGTATTAAAAACAAGGGCGATCATTTTGAATAAAAATCTATTTTATTGGTGATTATTATCTATTTAATGGTAACTGAAAATTTTAGATATATAAGTTGATTATTAAAAAAGCTATGCAACTTTTATTTCATCTCAAAACTTATGAACACACTAGGTATTTAGATGATGGCCATCAACAGGCAAATCTAAAAACTATTAAGAGGGGGGGGGGGGGACAAGAGTGATAATTCAAAGTCTTCAGATGATAAACTTATTTCAATTATAATTTGGAAAAAATCTTGGAAACATCTACCTCAAATTTCAGTTTTATTGAATGGTATTAATTAATATTCAATTTGGTTACTTCATAATATATAGATTCAAGTCAGAATTGTGGATCCATGCATCAACTTTACTTACATCATACAAAGTATATTCAGCTTTGAATCCTACACACAAGTACTGTTGTCCCCATGCCATCACTTTAGGCACATCGGGTATTGTAAAATCAAATAGATGTTGTTTGAATTCTCCATTTTTACCATAGTATAATTGAAGTTTCCTTCTAACGGCAACACAAAGGCGTACTACAGAATTTGATTCTCCTGTCATAGATGTTGTAGACTGAAAATATATTAAAGTTAACATTATTTACAGTTTGTATTAGTATTCAACAGTAAATATCCCTTCATAAAATAAATATCTCACCTTATTATCTAAAGCAAACAATGAAGCACCCTTTGTCTGTGGAAATAGCTTTACTAAAGGAAAATTTACTCCGTTTATATCATAAGTAGACAATACATTGTCTGTTAGACATAAGAGCAAATTGTCCTCTGAAAAGATAAATCTTATTATAATTATAGATATATAAAATGGTAAGTATTAATTAACATCTATACTGGCATCAATATACGATTACATTATGTACTATATAGGTATAGTAGTCATTAACATTATTTCTAACCTTATATTTCATGGCATATTGAAACTTATAAATATCTAACTAAATATATATAAATATGCATCATATTTTGTTTGTAAATAGTTAAAACTGTATGATTAAATATTGTAATGTTGACTAGTTATTATTAATTTCAGTTAAAAATGTCTTTTCCATATAGGTATCTCTGCAACTCAACATAAAAATTATGCCTGTTTTGAATGTGGTGTTTTATGTGGCCAAACAATATTGCACTCCCAGAGCCAGTCATCCGGTGAACTAAAGTTTGAGGGTTTCACAATTTCTTTAATATAAACGTACCAGGAATAACTTCAATTTGTTGTATAGGTTTCTTGCTGAAGTTTTTACAATATCTTAGTAGCTGCACTTCATATTTCTGATTTCCATTGTTTGATGATAAAGAGTACATCAATAGATGACCTTGTCTTGTTCCCAATAAAAGATTTCCATCTAAAATAGAATACATGATTTAGTTTAGATGTAGTCAACTAAGTTATAGACAGATACAGAGAGGACCTGATGATATAAAAGTCTGTTTATGATAAATGGCTGAAAATTAACTGTCCTTTATTTAACTAAGCTAAAAATCCTTAATTTTAATAAAATATGTACATAAAAATTGCATTGCTTCTAGCAACTCGAGCTTTTTGTGGTCACAAGACTCATATAGGATTTTCATCTTTTGTAGTTGATTTACCTGATTGTTAGAATTTCAATCAAAATTTTTATTTGCAAGTCATATTCATTTCCTACAAGTCAATGAACAGGATAAAGAATAAGCTAAGTTCCTTTTTTATATCAAATGTTAAATAATCATGAAATATACATCTTCAACTAAGGCCTCCTAAAATTCAAAGTCCTGTGCACTTCCCATCCCAAGTTCCTATAAAAATAATAGACCCATGTAAACTGAGGTTTCTTACCATATGCAGCTATTGCTTCAATTTGAACCGTCGCAGTAAGGAGATGGGATACTTCATATGCTTCATGCATTTTTGTTCATTAACACACTTCTGCATATATTATTTTAAAAGCTGCAAAGATAGCATAAGTTTACCAGTTCTAAAACCAAATAAATTGTTATTTACTATTAATTAGAGTTATCGGCGTTGATTTATATCAAATATCACTAAATTTAAAAATATATATAAATAGACAATAAAAACCGCACTTTATTTATTTCTATTTGGAATTATATTTTATTTTGTTGTGATTTTGATGCAATATAATCTGTGTTTGGTTTTGACGTCTCATAGGGATGCCCGATAGACCTGGGTCGATTGCTATTTATCGAATCATTTTGATTTAGTTAGAACCTATAATCGAGCGATTGAGTGAGGAAATATTTAAAAAAAATAATAGTTCCCAAAATCAAACTAGAGTCGCTACGTACGTTCTGATTTCTCCATGACAAACCTTCCGATTTTCTTTCATGTTTAAAATTAAATTACTTTTCAAAACTCAAGCAACAACTCATAATTATTCTATTTGTACTTTATCGTTTTTCAACTTCAATAAGGAACTGTTTAAAAAATAAAAATGAGTCCATGAAATCAAACTAGATGTCACATTCGATTTTCGGATAATTGTCTATGATATCCATTCAAATTTTCTTTCTGACGTAGTAAAAGTAAATTGAGTATCGAAAATTAATAAATATGACATCATTTCGTGATTCTTATCTTTAACTTTCAAATTAATTTTAATCGTGAGTTTAAGTCATTTATTATGCTACGTGTAAGGGAACGATGTTTGATTTATATGTCAACATTAGTAATGGCCAACTTATTAGTTGTTGGAATAAAGAACAAAAAGCGTAACGCAGAATTCTGCTTGTTTTTCTTATATGCAGTATTTCTATGTGTACCATTATGCAGTCACACGTCGAATTAGGTTAATATAAATATCAATTCAGTCCAGGCTGTTACATAGTACTTGTGAAAGTCAACGGTACCGAAAACTAAGGCGGGAGATCTTGTACAGAGAAGAACCGGAAAGAAACTCAGCAAGAGCTTCTTTTTTTCTCTCTGTTTTATTTGACACGGAGAAGTCTTATTAGAAAATGACTCAATTAGACTATGAAGTCACTTTCCATTACAATATCAGAAATCTTACATATTCACCCCCACTGGCACCCGTCGATGAGCTTGACATATGAGTCAGCCATCGCTTCGTTCATCTATATTTGAGAGAACGTAACGACCCGACGCTCACGATACCACCGCAAAGATTTTTAAAAGAGCACGACTACTCTAGGTACTTAATAAATAATATATTTCAATAAAATAAAACTGATTTCTAGACATTGGCGTAACTATACCGTTTGAAGCTCGTGGCAAATTCATCGGATATTCATTTTTTTGCTAATCGCATAATAATAAATGTCACGAGTAAGGAGTCTCCTCTGACCGGGGGCCCCTTCTAGCTAGGGGCCCGTGGCATTTTGCCGACTTGCCACCTTGTAGTTACGCTACTGTTTCTAAAGTAGGTTGAGTGGGAAGTCAGTCTATTATTGACAATATTATTGTAACCAAACCAAAAAGCACATACATACCCACCCTACGCCTACTAACCTGGCTCGACGTCCGCCGTCGACATGCAAGTTCAGTAGCAATAGTATAATAACTGTATGTGTCTTTGTGATTTTGAAATTTAAAGATTAAACATTGCTGTCCGTTTCGATCGGACGTTTCTTGTTGATAGCTGTTTTTTTATTAAGATAATTATGAATAAAAGATTTAATAACTGATCATAGTTTTTTATTTTTTTTATTTCGAAAGGATAAAGTGCTTTTAATAATTTCACAGCATTAATTCCATTGATTTCCATAACTTTAAATAAAAAACCTTCCAGTTCTATTATGTTAGTTTCCATTTTCCTTTACACAAATAAAAAAGAAATTTATTCAAGGATTAGTTCGTATTAATGGAGTTGCGTTTGCGTAATTTGAATTGAATTTTAACTCGATATTAGTCAGAGTTAGCAGATCAATAACAACACTGACAGTTCTATTCTCTGGTTTAACGTCATGAATTGACATTTAGATCCATAGAGTAAGGTAGAGTGGAAATATTTTCTTTGATTATATAAATATCATGCAATCTGAAGTTGACATCAAAAACATGATGTTGTCTTTTTTTAACTAATAAGAAGTTTCTTTAGTAAACAAAGATAACACTAGTGTGACAGTTCAAAATTTTTTACGTGACGTCATGAGATATAGCTATCGTACCACCTGTCAGCCATTTGCAAATTTGCTTTGCGTATTCTCGGAAGTAGTTCAGCTGTCAGTGTTATAAGTTTTGTGGTTATTTTCATTTATAACTTTAATTTATATAACTTTCATGGCAGAAAATTGTCAATTATTTATGCAAAACAATGCCTAGGTGCTGTATAATTGGTTGTGCGTCATCAATATCCCGCAAACTGAGCAATATTACGTTTCACCGGTAAGTTAAACACTTTCTTGGAATAACAGTATTTAAAACGTAAGTAAGTTATTCTGAAAATGATTGCGTGTATAAATCGATACATATCGTATTTTGGCGTGTTCTATTTATGCTATATTGCTCTTTTCGTTTATATTTTTATAATATTTCGGTCCGTAAATAATATTGTTTACATGGCTAGTGTCGTTACTTTAACATATGGTTTATATCGATAATTTTAATATTTAAAAATATATTAATTATTTTAGATTACCAAAAGATGAAACAAAAGAGGAAAATGGCCGAGTTACATAGAAGCAGAAAATATTAAATGTAATGAAAAAGTTACTTTTATCTGCTCACTTAATTTTAGGGAAAGTTGTTTGAATCGAACTTTAAATATAATAAAATTACGAGATGATGCATTGCCAATCAAATACTCTGGTAAGAATTTTTGACAATTGCTTTTAACTTATTTAAAAAAAAATGTCTATTACACTTCGTTAATTTTCATTTGATTTTACTGATTTATTTATTTAGTTTTTTATATAGTCATTTTGTTATTCTATAAATGTACCTTATTTTTAGTCTTGCGGTCATATGACGACTATTTTAATTGAAAAAAATCAGATTGCAATATATAATAATATTAAAATATAAAATTCTGATCATAATATACTCCCAGTAAAATATACAATAAAATGAGTTAAATAATTTTAATAAAAATTAAAATATGCACACTTATCAAATTAAAGGCATAATAGTTAAAGGTTTGCTTTGCTGTTCAATAGTATAATCTTAATACCCAAATAATTATTTTGCGGCGTGGATGTTTATTTTGCTGAAGCATCATAAAATACGCTACCTTTTTGAATTTAAATTGCTAACCGTTATCATGATTGTTCACAGAACATGAACTGCAGACTGTTTTAGTGCTGAGAAAATATTTGTATGCTTGCCTATTGATTAATCGGCTGTTTTCTTCTTGCTAACCAAATTTTTAAATAAAATGCCAATTGTTACTTCTTTAATAATGTCACTGTTATGCCAATTGTTACTTATTCATCACCAACCATTGTTTTCTTTATTTTCTCTTGTTTATTCATCAAAGTTTACAGTATTTTTATGTTCTTTTACCAATAATATAATACAAAGATTATGTAGGTGTTTCAAGTTTTCTATGTTTACTACTAAACAAAATGTTCTGAACTAAAATTGTGACACAGTACGCACGGTATCTCACTTAATGAGGAGGAAGCGAAATTTATTCAGTCAAAACAATTTATTGAATAAATTTATAGACAAGTTGGCTTACTAGTTACAAGCATATAAGAAAGTCGAAACTCTGTGCTTATAGTTCAGCAATCTATTACGGGAAACCTTGTACCGAGAAAAGAAGAAACTGTAAGAAAGGAACCGGTAAGAAACTGCAAGGGCTGCTTTTGCACCCTGTTTAATTTCATACTGAAAAATAAAAAATGACTTCATTGGACCAAAATGTCACTTTCCACCAAAACAATAAAAAATATATAACAGACAAAAAAAAGCATAATAATCCATTCGTCAATCGACTCATTAAAAGCTTATTATAGTTACCGTGGTAGTTATCTTGGACAGTAGTCACACTTCCCGTGGATGCAAAATTAAACTTATGTTAAAAAAACTATTTAATTATAATTGCAAAATGTCAACGTGACAATATATATGGAAATAATTATAAAACATGATTGATATTATTGTAAAACTTTTAAGATATATATTTTGGTACTATAGTTCTTAAAACTATGTAAAATTGGCTATATTAGAGGAAAAAGAAACATATTTATCGAGGTACAATCATATTATAAAATTATATTATTAAATAATATAAATGTGAAAGTTTGTGAGGATGGATGTTGGTTACTCTCATGTAAAAACTACTGAACGGATTTTGATCTTTTACCCGTGGGAAGCGCCATCACACGCTGGTAACATATGTTATATTTACTATAGTGACGCAACGGAGTCGCAAGAACAAAGAACGCAAGAAATTTTAGATGTCCAACAAAATACGAGCAAAAGATTGCTTAATGATTTATATATAATTGATAAATTCACGCCACTTTTAAAAAAATATTATTTTCTTGATACTGGCGTGAATTTTTCAATTTAATTAATAATAATCATAAATAGGATTGGTACGTAAGTGTGAAATGAATAGAAGTGTAATAGGTAATAGTTTAGCCATGCCCCTAACAATGAAAATTATATTATATTATTTAATAAGTAGTAGTATTGTAGCAGTGTCACGAAATACTAACTTTTATTTAATATGACTTCAATGTCGATACAAATATCGATATCTTGGGTCACGCCCTATGACAATCCGCCATCGAAGAATTTGCATTTGAAGTTTAGGCATATACGCTTTTTTCGTAGGTATGGCCGGTCCTCTTCTTTTATGTCTATGTTTAGATCCTACAATGTGCTGCCATCTAATGAAATAAATTTTTGTATTTTTTTTTTTAATACTTTCTCATTGAGTTCAGGAATCAGTAACGTTAACAATAAAACACTGACGAATACACTTATTCGAGTTGGGTTGTGTTGAAATCGCATATAATTTTTCTTAGGTTTTTGTTGGTTTCGATTGCTTTTAATAATAATAATATTCTTTATTGCACGCTAGACAGGACATAATACAGAGAAGATAGAAACAAGAAAAAGATTACAAAGGGCGACCAGATTGCTAAGTAGCAATCTCTTCCAGGCAACCCGAGGCAAAGAAATACATGAACTATATAATAAAAAGAGGGGGGTGCAAGATGGAGAAGTAAATAGATAAATCTGTATAATGTAATATAGTAAATAAAATAGATAAAGATAAAAAGTCATAAAACATAAACATATTAACAGTTTTCAAGAAAGTGTGTTTTTACTTAACAATAAAACAATTTAAGGTTCGAGTCTTTCTTACAGCTTCAGGCAAAGAATTTCAAAGACGTACCGCATGCACGGAAAATGAGTAGGATAAGAAGTCGGAAGTATGACGAGGAATATTAAGGGTTAAGTTAGAAGATGAGCGTAGTTTCCTAAATATAATAATACTCTTTGGCGTAGAGTACACTGTGAAGAGGAGGTTTTATTGTTAGTTATTATGGTCGACAAAATAGCATCTGCGATTATGATTTTCACAATAAATAAAAATGATTTCACTTCAATTTTAAATATATGTAATAGATCCAATTTTATTATTACTTATGGTTAAGTTTTAAAAAATGTCCTTTCCGTTTGTTGTAGCGTTATTATATTGCAAACTAAACGTATTTATGCATATTTTACATATAAATTGATAATTTTCTAAAAATTCATGCAATAAAGTAACAAAATAAAAGTTTTAATTATTATAACAATATTTTGGGGATTGTTCATATATGTATATTCCTTAAAAAATTAAGGTCTTGCCTTCTGTGTTATCTATACTCTCTATTTTCGTGGGTGTTATTCGATAAGGTTCCATCGCATAAGCAATTTTAGGGACTCGTAAATAACATTATTTTTATGATTAGTACAAAGAATAATAGTACTCCTAACGGAGATTTAGTATCATCTTACATTCTACTGCAAACAATAATAAAAATGAGGATGCGTTTATAGAGGCGTTACACATTTGAATTTGATCAACAATTACTTCGATTTTAGGTTTTACCACGTTAAAACAATATTTCGTTACACTAATAATAATGCAAGGAAAAGTAGAGGCAAAATATTATGTGGTTATAAGACCATTTTTGTTAATCATTCCACTTCATGGTACATAGGCGTCTACTTTTATGAATTCATTCATGCTTAAAAATGTAGCATTATATAAGAATGAGATTCTAAACTGCTGTACAATATAGTTTAGTAGATATAAATCATCGTGCATATATTTATTATAGAGTTCTAGCCTTGGCGAATGGAAGACTATAGATTATCTCCGAAACTACAGAACTTAGCGATTCGTCCTAGACTTATCCTTTAATGGACTGATAAATTACAAGGAACTAGAGATATCAAGAATTCATTTCAAAATCCAAGAGGGTGGTGCTGCCAGCCTGGCGGATATTATCTGTCTTAATTGTGGTTACAATGTGAAAAAAAAACTATGCATCAATCACTCTTTTTACTGTGTCGTCTTATTCTGTAGCATTTATTTCTGAACTTGTCCTGAAAAATATACTTATCACTCTCCCTACTAATTCTCGTCGTTTACCAATACCGCATTAACGCAAAGTCGAGCCCTAAGGTGTCATCATAATCATCATCAAATATTTTTGATATACATACATATATCAAAGTATTTTTAACTTGAGTATGGTGCTTGCCAACCAATAAGACGACGCACGACGGCCTTATCTTTTACTCAGTTCAAACTCAACATACCTTCTGTCTTGTCCTGTTGCGCACTCCTCCTTCTATTGAATCGATTATTTTTTTTCTATCTAAAACAAGTTGTTTGATGCACTAAGTGAAAACTAACTTAAACTAGAATTAATAAATTCTAGATATAACTAAGAAAGTCTAGTTTTAATAAGTAAAACGCATTCTAAATTCAACACCAATAAAACTTCATAAAACAGAACAGAAGGATGGCTATGTTTTTAAAGTGTAAGTATATATTTACTGTATATTAACGTATTGCAATGCACACACATGCTTTCCTTGTATGACAATATATATCTACACTACATCTAAAATATATAAACCTATATCCTATATTGAGTGGGGCTAACTAATAAATGAAAAAACCATTTTACTATTCATTTAATATTTACTTTTATAATGTTATTTTCATTCATAACTAACAACGATATGGGTGTTACGATGTATTCAAATTCAGTAAAACAAAAATTAAAACAAATACAAATTTCACTCACTATTTAAATTCAATATTACAGTAAATAGTAATAAGAAAACTTTTACTTTAAATAATTTGTATGTCATAACCCCATCTCGAACTATGCATCATTATTTCATATGGGAAATTCTCATGTAAATGTGCACGTAAATCGTGAAAGTGAGAATTCAGTGGGATAGAGACGTTCATTAACATCGCTTCAAACATTCAGGTCACTAGTATGTCTTACAATTTTTACACAGAGGGTCTTAAGAAGCAACGTCGATTACAAAATTCATATTAGATAAGACTTAATAAAAATATGCATATCTAAACTACCGTGTCCCTTAGCAAGTTAGCGGTGGCCTCACTGCCACACTGCGACTGCCACCGCGCGCCACTCGACTCATACCGTACAGATTATTATATAATAATTATATTTACACGAATTATAAAAGTTGTGTCGGCAAATCAATAGCCATTACGGCCACATCTAAGCTCCACTATGTGATTTGAAAACGGTGCGCCGAGCGCATTCTTAAGATACAATAATTTATAAGTAATTATAAAAGTACATAGGTACATAAAGTAATACATAAGTAATTATGTGTTAGAAAATTTGAAGGTCCCAGCGTAAAGTACGGGCGAGCGCCCCGTTAAGCATGCTAGTCTCAAAAGAAATATTAAAATACTAAATATGACGTTTTAAAGTTACAACGTTAAGTTTATAAAAGGCAGATATGAACTGCGTGTCAGTTGTAATATTAAAACTAATGTCATAATTATGTAGTCAGACAGGTGCAACAATGGCTTGGTCGAAATAAGAGGCTGGACCTGGGTAATCCACGCAAGTCAATGTATACTTTCGATAGTAACTCCACTTATGTTATGAATTCATAAACTTGATGTAAAGCTACGAAATAACATGAGACTGAAATTTCCTTTATTATCAACATCTCTAAATGAAATTGAAAGTACTACAGAGACTTCCCTGGTATCAAAGCATCTTCAGCTGCCTTTCGTACTCGGCACTCGATCTTGGTGCAAGAGATAATGGACTTTACACCGAGAAAAATTATGAAAATAGGCTACTTCTATACCATAATAAAGATTTCGTTATCCTACACTTGAATGATGCCTAATTTGTAACTGTATGCCAAAATACAAGTGCAAAATGAAATTACTCAATACTTAAAACTATGACAATGAAATTTATAGCATTACTTCAACATTCTTCTCGTAGATGACTACTAATAATCATAGTGATTTCAATGACAAATTTTATATTATAGAAATATCATTTATCGAATATAGAATACAATATTATCGAAAAACTATGTAGTTACATTAGGACACCGACAGTGCTATTAAATACATTACATTTACCCAGCATTGGATAAAATGAGGTACACCGCAATAAAAAAATGTTCCATAACACAGAAGTTGCCAAAAAAATACAATATCTATAATGTAGTAAATCTAAAAATTTATATCTTCTGAATTGTTTATACATAATATTCTGAGATATCGTTAATATTATAATTATCTTGAGAGATCAGTTTATGCTAGTTATAAAAATTTACAAGTATGCTCTCTATATTGCAAAAAAAATGTTACCCATTGCTAATTTTCAATGTTGAGACAACTCTAGGTATACGCTTCGTACAATTTTCACGAGTTAGTGATACGTACCAACGAGAAATACGCTAATGCACTACTGAATATGTCTTTCCTACTGGTTACATGGCCCAAGCAAGTATACGCTCCATTAAAGTAGGTATCATGGCTATCATTCATAGGTGATTCTAGTGATACAAACGTGTCTGTCTATTCGTCGCAGATACAACGTCGCAAACGAGCGAACGCTGGCGTTCACTCGGAAAAAAAAATAAAACAAATCAATTTTTTTTTTCATCCAGACGATAATATATTCTGTCGTTTATCGAACGAGCGTCACTTCGAACTCAATTTTTAAGGTATGTACATGAGACATGAGACAATTCGAGCTTACAAAAGTACAAAGTAATCACATCGCGACGGTATAGAATCTACGGCGGATTTACCCTTCTCACCGACTACGACAGCTCAAGCTTTCATTACACTACGTTATCACACGATTACTCGCCGAAAACACCTATTATGCATTTAATTTTACCCGATGCCAACACGAAAAATGACTATCACTAAGTAGCATACGAGCGAGTGTCGATTCGCGAGGGATACGTCGCGAGTCTACGATGCCGATGCGCCCGCAGAACCGCTCTCGCCTGGAAACAATCACACCATACTGTTACTCTGACGCTCACATTAAACATTGCCGATTAGGGATGATGAATGGGTAAAAAAAATGCAATTCTATTTAGTCCGTCATTCAGATAATAGAAAAATATTAGATACGTATTTTTTTTTTACTTCAATTTAACAAGAAATAGCTTAGATAACAGGCATTAAAGTTGAGGAGTGGGGGCTCGCTACGTCACAGTTGAGTAGAAAACGGACCATAACGTGACGTCATGCGAAATTTCAACTCCATTAACGCCGTAATTTTATGATTACGAAAAAAAAATACGTGTTTAATATTTTTTAACACTCTACCTGACGGACAAACTTTACATGGCTGAATGAATATAATTTTTATAGTGTTAATGTAATAATGTTAATAATAATGAGTTTATCACATTTATATCAAAAATTGATAATCTTTTGATAATTATTTTATTTTTATTGTATTGGTATCAATTAATATATTTGCATGCAGTATAGGGAAACATGTTGAACTACCTATTTTTGTAAAACCATAAATACCATGTTTGACGCAAATACCATGTTTGACCCATCTATTCTATTCTATTCACCACTCATATTATATATAACTAGCTTAGGGACTATGACTGGCTTAAAAAAAGAAATTCCATTTACATATATATATTTTTTACCTTATATTTAACAAGAAATGGCTTAAATAATAAGCGTTAAAGTTGAGGAGTGGGGGCTCGCACTTCACAGTTTCATAGAGAATGTACAAATACGTGACGTCATGCGACATTTCAACTCAATGTATCGCCGTAATTTATTGATTATCCAAAAAATAATAAATACGTGTTTAATATGGTTGCTATGGTAACGTTTTAATTCCCAATACAAATTTCTACTCCCATTTTCATCCCTTTATTTGTTGTTTTTTGGGATAAATTATAGCATATGTTCATCGCATATGATGTAACTACCCATAGGTAAAAGAATTTTTAAAATTAGTCCAGTAGTATCGCAGGTTATTCGATACAAACATACAAACAAATTTTTCCTCTTTATAATAATAATATTAAAAAAAATAAGATTTGATTATTTGTTTGCATCAAATAGACTCCAAAACTACTATTATGCATTTAATATTATTATTATTATAAAAAGGAAAGATTTGATCTATACACAAAATATAGGCAAGCTCTCCAATACCAGCTTTGCCCGCATGATCCTTAGTGAACTGGGGGCTAATTGTCAAATTTTAAAATTATATTCCAACTGCAATCTTTCTGGTGACTTTAAAAGTTATATAATTCCATAAATCGCTATAGTCTTGAAAGGGAAACTGTTTCACCGTTTAGTGGTATAAAAAGTATCCTATATGTCAATCCAAACTAAGAATTATCTTTATATTAAATTTCATCAAAATCCGATCAGTAAGTAGTGTATGTATGTTTGTTTTAAGTATTTATAATTTTATAATGTATAATATTAGTATGATGGATATCTATTTATACTAATATAAAACAATGTCGCTTCCCATTGTCTGTACGCTGAAATCACAATGGTTTTTTAATGCCATTTTCACCAATATATCGTGATTCACGAAGGTTTGTATAATACAGAAACACGCGGATGAAACCGCTGGCGGAAAGCTAAAAAGACAAATACAATGAAATAAGCTATAATAATATATGTTATTAACGTTCTCACGGGAACCGAACATGTTTACGAGATAAAACTAACAATACGTGTTATAATAAATTTCAAATCCGTTCATTCATTTTAATCCGATTGCATAACAAAAAATCTATGCGTTCAAATTTATAATACTCATTTATATATATTTCACAGAAAAAAAAGATACAAAATTATATTTGTTACTTATTTATTTTTGTATAACCATTTCTTGCAATTTTTAACAAATTTTCGCCAGTGTCATGTGCCCTATTACATTCAAATATAAAAATTCACAAGCGTCGATAAATAATCATGCCCATTTTCCATATATTGATTGACACATGTTTTTTTGAAGGTCGTGTCTACCTACCATTAGTGATATTTTTAATTAACATAATAATATTCAAGCATCTTTTCATTTACATTTGTAAATAATGTTTTGAGGTTATATCAACTGTCAAAACTTTAGATATTTCTGAAGCTACATTTAAAATTAATATAGTTAGTAATTTTTTTATAGTTTTATTCATAAATATGGTAATAAATCTAAATGTTCCTATTTTATATTATTTAGTTTGATTATTTATTTACTTATATCCGCTGAAAATCAGCGCCTCAGCTAAAACACTGCGGCATCTTGCTGAACGGAGACCTTTTAGTAATTATTTTTAAATGATCTATTAGCATACTATTAATGCTATATACTTATAATTTGGTACTAAATAAACACTTTCCTATTCCTGTTTAAATAGAATATTAAACGCAATTGTTAATGTGCACTTTTTTATCATATGACGAAAGAATATTTTTCCGTCGTAGATGAAACGAAATGTAGCAAGCCGTCAATGGGTCCGAAATATTCATCAGTCTCGCAATTGTTATCCTGACTAAATTTTAAGGTAGCAAACTGTCATTGTAGGGTCCGAATCGCATAGCGATAACTTTATTAAGACTTAATTACACGATATGAAATAAGCTACATTTTGAGATATGTCACTACCAGTAGACGCGTTAGTAAATTTTTAGGTCAAAATTGGACACGATTCTTTATAAACGATACTCGATATCATCAAAATGTTTTGTTGTATGTTTGTTTACCAGTGGGCGTGTGTGGATCGACGTGAGCGGAGGGCGCGGCGGCGGGCGCGTCCGTCTGCGCGGCGGCCGCGCGCGGCTTCAGGAACTCGTTGAGCGACGGCTGGATGCTGAGCTCGTACTCGGTGAAGTTGAATAGGGGCGGCAGTGAGCGGCCGTTCGGCAGCCGCGCGGTCGGCTCGCGCAACTCGTCGAAGAAACTGTGCGCGCAAGCCTGCAGCGGCGACAACCGCGCGCCCGGCGTGTACTCGAGCAGGCGGGACACTAGAGAGATCGCGTCGGGCGGCGTGCACGCACGGAACACCTGCGCGGTATAACGGACACCGTGTAGATAACATTGCCGGCGAACAGACTTTTAATTCTGGTAAAGGCCAGACCCGAATTCGCATTTACTCATTTGTCCGTTTAGTGGAGAAATTCTATTGATTCCATTTTTTGTATAAAAATACAAAACTAAATTGATTGAATATACGTGTCTCAGATATACGTTATTACCAATTCAAAGTTGAACGGATGCCGCTTTTTGAAGTGAATTCGGACACCTGAGTGAATTCGGATTCGGGTTTGGATTTTTAAAGAATCGAAGGGCAGGGCAGGGGTGAAAAGAAGAGAACGGGAAGTGAGTGAAAGACCTGCAGTAATGACGACCGCGCGTCCAGCGTGTACTAAGGGTTGCCAAATGGTCGGGATTGGTCTGGATTATCCCGACTTTTCGGATGATGTCCGGAGTCACGAAAAAGAAGAAAATGTCCGCTCAAATTATTTAAATTGATTAAATCAACCGATAACGGTTGAAGCAACCTAGAAATAATCCCGTTATCTTTACTCGTAAATAACCAATATTTTTCCAAGGCGAAGGATGAATATATCAATTTTTGTCCCGAGTAATCCCGATTTTATATGATTTTGCATAAATATTTTACTCTTCCCATCTGGCAACCCAAAGTGTACTCGACAGGTGTGACACTAGAGAGATCGCTTCGGACAGCGTGCACGTACGAAACACCGTATAGATACCGCTACTGGTGAACCGAACCGGGGTGACTGAGAGCGGGAAGTGAGTGAAAGGGATATAACGCCGTTAGTACTGCGTTGTCACCTTTTGAGAAACAAAATTCGTGATATTCGGATAGTCATCAGAAACCGGGTCAGGAGGCAACCCTGACTGCGACACATGCGCGTCTGTGTAACAACCTTTTTCGCAGTTAACTACGAAACCGTGCTGGCAAGGACGCAGCTATTTCATCGAGCTAATAATAGAACGAGACAAAGCACATGAGAAACATTACCATACAACTGTTAAGATTTCGCAAATGTGTCAGTGTACTAAAGACGTAACAAACACTGACGAACACGAACTGGGGTGACTGGAGGAAAGCCGGAAGTGAGCGAAAGAGCTATAAGCATCGAATAAGTCATATAAATCGGCGAGGATATATGATGAGTAATGCACTTGCTTTGTGACGCTCGATTATCTCTGCCTACCCGCACAATAATATATACTCGTAGATAAGAAAGTGATATGAAGGTATTAGTTCCTGTACGGTGATACTAAAGGGCCGTATACGTCATGATTTTTAGTATCTATTTGACCTCCCCTCAAAAGCTGACAACGTGCTGAGGTTTTGGACGTAACCCTCTCTCCACTTAACTCAAAGATCACATGTATTCTTTACAATATTTTAATTTAATCTCCTCAATATATATTGACGCAATAAAAACCAGATTATAACATTACAAATGAAATAAAAAAGAATGTATATGTGTAGAATCCTGTAACTTAAAACTACATATATTTTTGAATCGATTGGAGTGAAAAAGGATTAAAGCACGCATCCACTTAGTTGTGGATCTGTTTCAAAGACCACGAGTTCTGCTGGGAAGTGTATGACGAAATTTTATCGTTTTACACAAGAAAATAATGTAAGTAAAAACACTCGACATTAAATGCAAACTCACATCGTCATTTAAAAAGCAAACCCTTCCACACTTGAGACAATGTTAGCAGACGGGACACAAAATTTTTTAATTAAAGGAACAATATTTACAATTTATTATTAGTTAGACTTTAAAAGAGTTGAATGTTGTGACAATTTAGTTTAATTGATGTGATGTGATACTGTAATAAACCTTTCGTGAGATATCTGACAAAAGCAATAAAGAGAGGAATGCAGATATCCTGTAGAATGCACACTGAACACCAACAAACAGTAAAAAAGGTGATCATAATATTAGTTGTGATGTGACAATGTAACTTCTAATCATTCATGCCAAAGGCTTTTCACTAAACACCTCCATGATAAGTTGTTCGAACAACAAAATAATAACAAGACATGTAATGATATGTGACGATTTCAGAAACTGGGATTCTAAATTACTATTTATAATGGAGTGATGCTGAAATTTAATCTCGATTGTAAACTCATGCTATAGAGCGTAGACAACATCTAATGTATTTTTATAGATATACATGAAATATATGTTATATAAAAAAGTAACATTCCTATAATAAGTTTAAATTCAAAAAATAAATTTAATTGTCAAAATTTCCTGTGTAAACGCCACTTCTGTCATGGCGTCACAGCCCTCTGAAACTAATATAGTTCTATGTATGCATAAGGTTGAATTCTCTAAGTTCTGATATGAGTAAGAGGGGTGTTACGTCACGCGCTGTTTGCGGTCATGTGACAACTACTACAAAATATTTGGTATTCATAATTAATTTAAGCGATATTATAAATATAATAAGCATAAAAGTGTGATTATCGATAATATTATATTGAACACTACCAGAAAAAAATATAATTATGTATTTTCATTTACTGTCCACACCCGTATTATGAAAATTATTATCTATACTAAATAACTACTTTAGATGTAAACATGATTTTGACACGTGGATAGAATACGTGACTGACGTATTTTTCTTTCAGAGTTATTATGCTAACAGACCACAAATAAAGATTACTTTGTAAACAGTAAACTGATTAGGCAGAATGTTACAAGACTGCCTAAAAATATTATTTTCTTCATTGCGAGTCAATGCGTAATATGAACATTTACTAAGGATACTTTTAAAGAGGACATCCGTTCCATTGTGATGTAGTTATGAATTTAATAGTTTCACCTGGAGATAAAATATTGTCACAAATCGTTTAAGAAATTCATAATTTACTCTGCCGCTATTAGCTAAGTAATTAGTCTCAGCATCAGGGAGATGGCCATTTAATGTCACTGACATTTAGAGTGGACACATCCGAGAGTCGATACCCTAAAACGTTTGGAAAATAACCAATATTTCAATAATATTGTGAGGTTATACTAAATTAGCATATTTTGATTGAATTTAAAAGAATTTAACATATTATTATGATCTAGCATTATATGAAACAAAAACATGGAATTTTAATATACTTATTAATATGCGTTCTTTCAAAACTCTAAATAGTTTAAAACGACTATAAAACTATTATATTGAAAAAAAAAGAAAGTTTTTTGTAATTTCTTGATTCGAATTACTACACTCCGTTTAGCCCAAGTTATTTCCAGAGCGCCCTAAATATAACCTGCCCTAAAAGTTACCCAGGCTTCCACTTCTACCATCCACTAACACGAGAATACAAAAAAATAATAACACTGAAGACTCGTTTGCTATTCAATCGCTATATATATAATAATTTCCTCAATACATAAAATCAAATTTAAAAAGTAAGCTAATTAAAGAAACAGTCAATAAGGGTGTAGACGACTTTTATATTTTTTATTTTATATATATGTATACATGAAATATATCTAAAAACAAACCCGCGAAAACGCCACTTCTATCATAGCGTCGTTATGACGTCAAGACCCCTCTGAAATTAATATTTGTATTCTCTAAGTTTTGATATGAGTAAGAAGGGCGTGACGTCATGCGCTATTTGCGGTCAGGTGACAACGACCACAAATATTTCTTTTTTCATAATTAATTTATATTATAAATATAATAAAATTGTAATTTGTAAAGAAGAAAATAATAATTTGTATATTATATTTGATCAACTTTGGATTCACAATGCTATACTGAAAAAAATCCCTTTATCCCTGGCACTCTATGGGATCTGAGTGTATTATATTTATTTTCGTTTAATGTCTACACCAGCACTGATCTATCATTATTTTTATAAATAAATTATGCGTGATTGAATTTAAAAAGATATATATTTAAATAAAGGTAAAATAGAAGGTTTTTTGAAATCGTCATTATGCTGTTTCCATTCATATTACTATGGGAGGCATTTAGTTTGGACAGTTGGTATCTTACTCTTATGCGCTGGTGATCAGTGGCACACTTGGGCATCGTCATTCGCTCCAACAAGTACTGCAACGACGCAGGTCTTTAATTATAGTATATAATCAATAACAGATCACTATCTCATATCTGTATTTATCGTGGTTGAGTAGTTTACAAAAATGTATACATTTCTTCTTTATACAATCAAAAAGGCAAAGGCATTAAATTATCATTGTTTATTACTATTTTCAAAATAATATCAATCAAAAACATCATTTGAAAACCTATGACAAAAAGTTTAACATTGCTAAGTCAAGAATTCTCAAACTATTCAGGGTGGAACACCTCAGACCACCAAAGCAAATTACATTAAAACTCCTATCTCTAAATATCTTCCTATTGATAGGAAGATACAATACTAACGAAACTCAAAAGTCTAAAAAGTCTAAGTTAAAATGTAAGAAAAGATATATAAATAAATATCTGAAACCATAATACTTTATTTATACTAAAATGTTAGTTATTCTTAATAAAATGTAACAAATAAGTAACTTGAAAGTTTTAAATAAGATATTCGATTTTTAGGCTTTTTCTACCCCTAAATTAGTATTGTTTGTCTGTATCAGTAGTCAACATAGACCCCAAGGGGTCATATTTCGATCTTACAATGGCTTCCCTGGCTTCAGTTGTTTGATAAAGAAATCAATTAAAATAACCTGTAACAGTTTTACATACATGCTTCATTTTATGTGTAATAGTCAAAAATTCTTCCTATAAGGTTCTATTTCATTTATAGGGCAGGTCTTTATCCTAGTTATAGGGACATTAATAGGCTGATGATGAATCGATAGTATGAAAATGCAAATAGGTGTCTATGTAAATGGACAAATATGTTACAAAAGCTATTGCAAATGATGACTTTACACTAACTCTTTTCTTTAATACTGTTGAACACATACATTCCTTAATCTATTTAAAAAAAAAAGAAGACGGATTAACATTTATGCTGACTGTATTATGTACAGTATTATATATATAAATATATACTGTATTATAACTACTTGTAATTATAATAACACGGACTTGCAGTGTAGAAGAGTTTGCAAATGATTCAAATTTATTATGTCCACGTTTTGCAGCGTGATTATAAATATATTTATTAAAAAAAGGCAATTACCTTAGCCCAGGGATGACTCTTGATTTGTGGGAATTTGAATTCAGTGTAGTTCGGATTCATCTCTCGAATTTGTTCGCGCGTTGGTGTACCTAGAACCTGTAAAGAAAATTAAGTTTAGAAAAACATTGTGTTTATTGTACCCAAACATTTCCCTGTAGTGAAGTCTTATATGTCTACAAAATATCTTTGATAGAAAGGGCTTTGAATATTATATAGCTGTTCAACCAATTTCCATTCGGTCACATTTGATCTGGTCTCTAGTAAGATCCTAATACAGTGTTTCTCAATGTTACTGTATGAGGGTTCTTCACGAAATTATTACTCATACATATTTTGGTAAAATTACGTTTCATTTTATGATTCCGAGTTAATACTTAACTTCCAACCAAATTTTGAGAACTATTGTTCTAATTAGCGTTTGCAGGTGTCCCGATTAGGTTGGACATAGGTAGGCTGTTTGATTGCGTGTCAAGCCAAAATAAACGGTGTACGGCTTCTCCGGCTTTTGTTAGGCGTTTTACATTTCGCAAACGAATGAGTGCTGAGTGTTTCTACCCAAATGTCCATCCAAACTGGTTGTTGTCCGGCTATGTTATACAGTTTAATAGGGGTGTAGACAACTTTTTACATTTTTATTTTATAGATATACATTAAATAAAGATATATAAATTAAAACAAATATCATTCATTTAATATCTAAAAATAAATTTAATTTTCAAAATTTCGCACGAAAACGCCACTTTTGTCATACCGTCGCTATGACGTAACGGCACTCTGAAATTAATATAGTTCTGTATGCATAAAATTGAATTCTCTTAGTTCTGATATGAATGAAAGGCGTGACGTCACTCAGTCTGCGGTCAAGTAACAACGAGCAAATTTTTTTCATATTTAGTTTAAGCAATATTATAAATATAATAAGCATAAGTGTAATTATCGGTAATAGTACATTAACCATTACCAGAAAAAAAAAGTCGTTAACTGTCTACACCCGTATTGATATTCAGTCAAGAACATACCTTAATGATTTCAACGAGTTGATCCACGCCAGAATCACCAGGGAAGATCGGCTGACCCAATAACAACTCTGCTACGACACAGCCCGCGCTCCACACGTCTGTGACAAGTACAGTGGGTAAATGAACACATCACATATTTTCTGAGTACTTTTAAGAACACCGTCTAAGTCTGAGTTGGACTCGCGCAGTAAGGATTCTCTACTGAAAACGAGCAAAAAAAAATCTCATTTGCCGCCTATAATATTTATTTTATTCTGGTTTTTAGTATTTAATAGAAATACAATACAGCCTGCTGACAGACAGGCAGCGAAATCTTAGTTATAGGGTTCCCGTTTTACCCATTGGGTACGGAACACTAAAATGAACGCAAATTCTAAATAAATACATATGTAATACAAAATTCACGCAAAAAAAATCCATTGTGTGATTAAAGTTTAATATATATCTATCAGTCGTAATTAAAAAAATTGTCACGAAAAACTTCATAAGCGATGATTTAATTTTCGAAATTTTTATTTGTAGCTTTCGCATATAATTAATATAAACGATTTGTAGAATGAATATCAGGGAATGTACAAATATAAAATGTAACTACATTGGTGATGATCAAAATACAAACAGTAATAGCAGCGAGTTACTAATCATTCGCCTCTTGTAGAATTTAGAGTACAAGCCCGATAAGGTCTCATATAGGACACGAGAACTGATTACATGTTACTTCAAATACATAAATGCTTTTAATACGCATAATATTATAATTTGCAAAGTGCCTTATTATTTTCTAAGATTAATGCAAAGTGCATTGATCTCTGATGGTGAATGTCAAAATTTTCCAAATAAAATATACTTTATATTTAAAAATATCAATGTCACTATATAATGCACATAACAATAGTCCCTATTGGAATATCAATAGGAAATGTTGATTTGTATATTGTTTGAATAATGTACCGATATATATTCCGTCTTTTGTAGAGCAACATTAGAAACAACCTTCGAGATTATAGCTTTCCATATTTTAAACATGAATGTGTTGAAGCGGAAACGAAAAAAATCTTAATATTCTATTAGTTCCATAGTCTGTTTAAATATTTTTTTAAGTTATCTAGAAAAAATATATAATAGGTAGTACAGTTATCGAGTAGCTCGGTGGCGTAGCGGATAAGCGCCGCGGCCCGCGATCGTTGTCGTTAAGCAACTTCCGCAAGGGTCGGTCACGGGATGGGTGACCAAAAAATTATTATCTCGAGCTACTCCGTGCTTCGGAAAGCACGTTAACGTCCCGGCTGCATTTGCAGTCGTTAATAGCCTCCAATCCGCATTGGGCCAGCGTGGAGCCCCTGCAGTGAGGACGTAAAAGGGCTGATGATGATGACAGTTATCATATCACTAGCCAATCATTCCCTTACTGCCGGAGCACAAATCGAATAAAACCGAAAAGGTAGAATGGGCTCTGACCGATAACGCAGGCCCAATGCGAATTGATGGGTGTTAACAACTGCACGTGCCGTGGCCAACGGCTTATGGTGCCTTCAAAATCACGGTGGAGCTAGAGATAATACATATCTAATCACCCATTCCATGACCGGTCATTGCAAAAGTTACTTGACTTCGGCATCGCAGATCAAACGCACTAACCACTGTATCATCGAACTTCTCTTATTTAAATATAGCGAAATTTAAAATAAAATTGATATTTACCTATCTTAGTTGTGTAATCTGTGGCACCAAAAATGAGTTCTGGTGCACGATAATATCGCGAACAAATATAGGAGACGTTTGGCTCCCCCTGAACTAAATGTTTCGCCGAACCAAAATCGCAGAGTTTGAGCACGCCAGTCTTCGGGTCGAGGAGTAGATTCTGTGGCTTGATGTCCCGGTGACAGATGCCCAGTGAATGAATGTACGCGAGACTTCTGAACAACTGGTACATGTATAGCTGTTGACAAATAACAATCATTGGATGAGAGTTCGTAGAGCAGTCATTTTTAAAATGCCCTAAGTATTGTTTCTTTTCTTACTTTTATTATTGCAAAACGTTAAGTTAAAATACGTAAGCAGAACTGATGCTTTCGATTGAATATAAATTAACTAAATTTAATTGGAGTTATTGTTCCTCCGTAGACAGAAAAGCATTACTTATGGCAACTTTAAAAAACATCCCTTCAATTCTTACGTGATCAATAAGTCTATTACTCATGGAGGGTATTATATATGTATGTCTATCTACACCAGTCAATTAGTACTTACGTGTGCACATTTGCGAAATAAACGCCAGTAAAGTTCAAAACTCATAAAAAACATATACGTGCCTTTATAAAACTAATGGGTATTGTTTGTTCATCTTTGGAGTAGTGACGTGCCACTTTGTAGACGGTCTCGGGTATATACTCCAGCACCAAATTCAGGTACACTTCGTCTTTCTGTGAAAACAAAACAAACATGTAACCAGTACTCTAGAAGCCAGTTAAGGTACTAATCAGCTATTATAAGGATTACCAACAGTGTATGTACATAATAACGCCAGCATATAGAATGAAAAAGTTTTAATTACAAGTTAAAGAAGAAATAAAAAAATATATATATAAATTTAAAAGTAACAAAACATCAAAACGTATGCAACAAGTGTATCAATTTCAGAAAACAAAATCTGTTAAAAAAAAATCCAATTTACTCAGTTCTAGAAAAAAACATTTTTTGGCAATGCATAAAACAAAATCATATCAAAAGTGCAAAAAATCAATTCATTACTTATGCGAAATGAATAAATCCTATTGTGCATGAATGGGGAGGACGTAGAAAATATTCAGTTTCGACAATAGAATTGAGTTGGCTCCCGTCCAAAGGCTCTAGGTGTTCGTGTTTAAATAATCATAACAATTACCCACGGCTGTGAGTTGGACCTTGACCTGGGCATCATCTAAAATGCATTTAACAACTTTCTATCTGTGAATAACGTATGAAAATAAAAATATCCTATTTAACTCTGTTAACGTCCATCTTCGAAAGGATGTAATAGTTTATGCACCAATAACTACCCTAGCTGACCTATTATTACCTCAAAGATAAATTATTTTTAAAGCGTTAAACCCCTGTAATTCACAAAGCACAAATTATTTCTAAATATTAAGGCAATATACTTAAAGAATATGATTTGAAGACAAAATGATACGCAAAAAGCGATCTCGTAAAGAAAAACAAAATATAAGCAAGCCAACAAAACTCAAATGAAATTGCATATGCTTGTATGCCTCTGAAGATGACAATGAATAATAATACACTCAGTGTAGAGGGGTTGAAAATTAAGCTAGAACATATGATAGAAAAGATGACACGTGACGTGAACAACCAGTTCTCAATTATGCACACAACTGTTTGAACTGGCTCCGGAGGTTACCGATCGATACTTTGCAGACGCAAAACAAAAGCACGACTAAAATTGTTAATGTAAAAGTGCCAAATAGTTTATGTTCGGTAACCATCGCCAATACATCGGTAGACCTAAAATGTGCGTTAGCACACTAGCGTAACAAATCTGAATGGTTCTGACATACTGCGACTTCAAGAGACTGCATTGCGTTTAATAGTGAGCTCACTCCTGTGGGCGCAGCCGCCTCCCCAAATAAAACACACAGATAACATACCCTTAATAACAAAATCAAATAACTAAAATAAAACACATTTGCCAACAACAGCGTATGTTAAATATTAATATAGAAAAGAATATTTATTAAATAAACGTAATATATTAGAAAATAAAAGAGCGCATTGTCTAATTACCTTTTCTCCACTTGAGTAAAAGAAGTATTTCAATTTTACAATATTACAATGTTCCAGTCGTCGCATGATCTGAAGTTCACGATTCTGCAAAACACATAAAATAGCAATTCAATTATTATACGAACAACAAAGACAGACGTTACATGCAATATTGTGCTTACTTCAAAAGTCTTCTCCTATTTAGGATTTTAAAAGTACCACTAAAAATACAGCAACAATTTTACCACTAACCTTAAACCTCTTGTCTTGAAGCACCTTCTTAATAGCAATGAGCTCGCCGGTGTCGCATAGCTTGGCTTGGTAGACGACGCCGAAGCTGCCATTGCCGATCAGCTTCATATCAGCATAGCTGACCTCTTGGGGCCGATCGGGGCCCTGGCCCGGCGTCGCTACTACAGTCGTCACCTTGGAGCCGTCCTTGCCTGGAAACAACAATATCATTGTTATAATACGAAAATGTAGCACAATTATTCGATACAAACAGTCCGAGAGAAGAAGATTAATGGCATGAACTCAAAACAATGTAAATTGACCGTAGCCCCATTCGTGTTTAAGTTGAGATCGATATAAAGACTAGTATACATGTTAGATAACGCAACTGTTAATTTTCGCAAAACAAAATTTCCGTGCTGTCAGTAACAACCTCGGAGTTCATGGTTGATATTACCAACACCAAGACTGTTTTTAATATCATTGCTTAGTCCACAAAGACGCTCGCTGCGTTAACTTATTTAACATAATCGGCAATGTTGTAAACAAAATAATTGTTAAATATATTAGATATACAAACAGCCTGATAAATAGGATACAATCGATTAACAATGACAGAAAATAAAATGCTTGCGCATTTCGCAGACAAACAGCATTAATTACCCGCATCACATCAGATAAAACAATTTAGATCTGCTTCTTCCACAACCACTTGTTTCAATCGATATGCTAATTTCAATTATCAACCAGCGAAATAACTGGCTTAGTATTTTTCAGGTTAGTAGCACGTGAACTTTTAAGCATCCCTTCCTCCGCAATGAAACGTGTAGTTGTGCGATAAAAATATTTGGTTCACGACTAGCACATTAATAACTTGATACTAACGTACGAAATATTAAGTCTGTTCTAAAAAAAAACTAATTGCAAATGAAAAGACGAAATTATAATTATTAAATGAATCCTCCTTCGCTGTCACAAGTCGTATCAGTTCTTGCTGAATGTTCCATAAGTGATCTATCTTACACAACAGTTTGAATGGCCTCTCTAATGCAATTTACTAATGACGCAAATGAATCATCAGTTTCACGCTTTATTAAACAATTATTGGTTAAAAATGTACATTATCTACGAATACTCCGGAATATGTAGATTCATAATATGTCACCTTCTGGGCAGGAATCATCGGCGAACATGTTTTTACTGTTTACATAACGGAAAAATTGACATTGTTATATTTGTAAATAGATTAGATTGTAAAATAAAACATGACCAACTAGCCATTGAACGATTAGTGTTCCATTTCACGCATATCATCGAAACAACGAAATATTTACACAGAATATACCTATACTAAAAACCTGTCAATCTCTTATATAATAACAACTAATATATATAATTAAATTAATATATATAGTCAACGCATTGTGTAATCAAAAAAACAAGGCAATAACAATTTGCCGAGTATAATTGTAATGGTTTGTAATTAGTTACTAATAGTAGTAAGTTGTATTTTTAATTTTGCTTACATCAGCGTCAACTACAAATTACTTTCTGTTGTTAGTTAATGACTGTGACTATAGTGAATCGTACAAGTAAACGAATGACGTATATGTTCAAATAGTTAAGATATTTTTAAACTAGTTAAATTCTATAATCTGTAGAAACTATCCTTTCCGGGCAACGTAAATATGACGAGCATTTAAGGATGGTATGCACTCTCTTCTCTACAATCCACGTACACCTGAGTATTTAAAATGTTAAGGTTAATACTCATCAAAAATATCTTCCTGCTAATCAATATACATTTGTCTCGGATTCTTTCACCCTTCCATACGACTCTGGAACATTGGAATTTAAGAGAACTGTTGGGCAATGCTGCTAATGTTAGCGTAATTATGCACAGTTCTTCTTATTAGAGCAGAAAATAACAATTTTATCTGACACCATTGATTTGCGTTTTCTCAAATTTTTGCTTTAATATAATGTTAGGCTACGCATGCATAGGTGATTTTTGTCATTACGACTTAATATTTCTGTTACATTGCTCCTGTCATTTCATGTAACTCAACTAGCTTAATGACACGTGTTCAAAGCGTAAGTTTTAATTGACGAAAATATCAAAGCTAATATAAAAAAAAGACGGAACAAAATTGTATTTCCGTCATTTTATTTGTCGGAAGTCTCGTAAGACCCGTCGTCGTAACGGAACATTTACGGTTTATAACAAAATCTTTTTTCTCTTGACCTTCCGTCTTTTATTTAACTTCAATACTCACTTTGTTGTAACAAAACTATATAAATTGATTTTTTTCACACCAACCACATAAAAAAGGTAATATCTGTTTCCTTCTAAGTGAACTTTGGTAAAACCCTTAAGTATACAAAAGTCCGAATACTCGTAAATACTTTAAACTCAAAATAAAAATGAAATAAAAGGACCATTTGTGCATATTTGTGTTGGCTTTGTAGTCTACTGCTTTAGAAACTGCAATCCAAGAAGTCGTCAGTGATAAATAAAAGTACATATTTATATATTCTTAATGCATTAAATATTGATTTGGTAGGAGCGGCGACTATAAGTTAATCACACCTCACACATCACATGATTCACAAACTTATTTGGAGGCGAAACAAAGATTATGACTTCTGCTTGTGCGTGTACTTCAACCCTTATCCGTATTTTAGTTAATAAAACTTTATCGGACATGTCTTTATTCAAAAATACTCGGTATGCATCTCATATTATACGTGTTAATTTAATATAATTAATTATAAAATCCAAATAGTTGTCTTTAGGCTACCGTAGCTAAAGGGTAAAACGGGAACCCTGTTATTAATACTTCGCTATCTGTCTGTCACCAAGCTGTATCTATGCGCGAGGGTGGTACGGGGGGTTTTGCACGGTAGGCCTGCTGTAGATAGGGAGTTCTTTGACCCTCCGCAGCAGGAGAGCCCGGGTTCAATCGACCTTTCGTCCAGGTCGATGGCATGTTAACGTCAGTTTCCCTGGGTATAAAAAAAAGGCTGTATCTCATGAACTGTAAAAATTAGACAGTTGAAATTTATTTGTGTTGCCGCTTTAACAACAAATACTAAGTACCAGAATAAAATAAATACTTAAGGGGGCTACCATACAACAAATGTTTTTTTTGCTCGTTTCCGGTACGGAGCCCTTCGTGCGCGAGTCCGATTAGCACTTGGCGGATTTAATAATTGATCAATGCTCTCTGTTCTTGTCACTCACGTGAAACGCTTCAGTCTTATTGGAGTCTGACGTTATTCTCTAAGACATAATGGCTCAGTTACAGTAGTTGTAGACTTCCGCATACGGCATGCGGGCTTTTTCTGCCCATCACTTTCATTGGTCGCTCATTGTTTTATTGACGCATGAGCCCGCAGAGGTCGTCCGCGCTACGTGTGAGGAACCCGTCGACCAGTGTAACTGAGCCATAATCGAGAATTGAAAAGTTCATATCATTCAATAGAAATTAATTTATTGAAGTGGACAGCATGTATTGATGGGATAAGAATCATGCATTGAAACTATTGAAGCGGAAAACTATTAAACTGTAGGTAAAATGTAATAGTTACACGAGTTCCATTCAATGTTGTCATCTAGAATCGTTACGTACCGATTGCATTGGAAGTATTACCTACAGATGATCAAATGAAATTTATAAATGGATCAAATGATCCATTTACCTTTATATTATTTAACTTCAAATTAATTCTAAGTCATCATTTTGCTACATTTAAATATAAATAAATATATGTATAGAAAAAAAATGTTATCAGTGCCCAATACTTTGGTTTAACATTACTTTAGACAGTGACTCCCTAAGTGGTCCAGGTGGACCCCCAGCGGTCCACGAGGGATTCAACGGGGTCTACGTTGGCATGAAATAAAAACAATTTCCATCGTTAGATCTTCACATTTTGGACGAATTTTGGGAATATGTTAAAAATGTAGCAGCAGGGGGTTCACCGAAACAAGTAAATTATTTAAAATGGTCTACGAGAAAAAATTGTTTAGAAACCTCTGCTTTAGAACATATTAATAAATTGAGATTATTTTTTATCGGAGAAAATTATAAACTCAACTCAACTGTGACAACAGAACCTTTAAATATATGATGTAGGTTTCCCATTTAAATACAGATCAATTGGACGATATTTCTTTGTCCAACACTAACTTTCCACCAACGACTTCACCCGCGTGGTCCCCATAGAATTGTTTATTTAGATATAGATTCATATTATGACACGGAATAATTACAATGACAAATTAAATAGTAAACAAAGGTTGCTATGATAACATTTTAATTCCCTATATAAACTTCCACTCCCATTTTCATCCCTTTATTTAGTGTTTTTCGGGATAAAATGTAGTCTATGTTCACCGCATATGATGTAACTTCCAGTAGGTGGAAGTAGTTTCGGAGCTTATTCGTTGCAAACAAACAAACAATCAAATCTACCTCTTTATAATATTAGTATAGACCAGTTGAAAGTTAACGATTTTGCGAGTACGAGCCTTCTTATATTCTAAACTGTGCCGACGTTTATCAACGTCCTAAATGTAATTTTAGCTGACACATTTCCAACGAGTTTAATCTAGGGTGTGATATGTTTAATAAAATATTCCGAATGTTCCACATTCACGGACGGGCAAATGTCGCCGAGAAAGGTTATTCTTTATTCATTTGCGTATGCGCATTAAATGTATATATAATTACATAAAGGCATAAAGAAACGTAGACAACTATATAAAATCAACAATGAGATAAACAGCCCCCTAATTGTCTAATTTTAAATCTATTGCAATCGCTTTCAGTTTGAAAGGTATTGCACGACCATTGCTTGTTTCTGAAGACAGTTGAAAAAAAAGTATTTGTATTATGCAGCAATGGTTGTGCAACACCTTTCAAACTGAAAGCGATTGCAATAGATTTAAAATTAGACAATTAGGAGGCAGGATTTATTACTCGTACAAACACCTGAAGCCCTTTTTTATTTGTCTACGGCCGTAATTTTAAATCATTCTTATTACAGTCATATCCGTGAAGATTATTAGTCAGTTTCATTATAAATTATCGGAAATTAAGTTTATTTGGAGTCATATTATCATTACGAATGATGAAATTTCGTTTTCGGAGAAATAGAATAGAACGTCAGAGGGGCTTAACTGTTTGTCTACGAACGAAAATTACTAAAATTTCGAATCGTTCTTAACATTTTCGTTTTCGGAGAAACAGCAGGCTTTCAATTATTTGGTACGAGTAGTAGAAGATAACGTATTGTGCGAAATATAGCATATAAACTATTTTTAAATCGTTGTAATCTTTCTCAATACCAAATCGCAATTATTGTAATATTTCTTGATACCAAACCTCGGATACAGATAGCAATTTGCCCTATAAAAGATTGTAATTAAGAAATATTAGGAGGTGAATCCCAAATGGAATAGTTAAAGCTCTTTTATTATGAAAATCGAAACATTGACGGTAACGGAATACCCAGACCAATATAGAAATAATTTTCTACATTGACCCGAATCAATTGAATGTAAGAGGAGGCACTAAGTAAATTATAACCATAAAAAAAATTAAACGATATTTTTTATAGTAATTATAGCCAGATATACAGAATATATAACAGAACAGAATAAAAATAGGAATAGAATGTTAATAAGGTAGGTGTTGCCGACAGCCTTACCATGTTTTTGAAATATTATTACTGGCCTCTTTAAGGAGGCTCTTATACTTGTTTTTAATTAATATTTTTTTTATTTTTTGACTTTGTCAATGTATGTTCAATGTATCTTGCCTTTGTACGTTGATCAATAAATGTTTCTCTGTGTTAAAAGTTATATTATTTAATTATATACAGTCCTCTGTTCTTGCTGTCGATTACAGTAGGTATGTAACGATTTAAAAGAATGGGTTAAATAAAAAATAAAAAAAATTGTTCAATTCTCTCGGACACCTCCTAGTCAACTTTATTGTTACTTTAATACAAGTGTATATTATGTATTCTCCTGTAAGACTATCAAAACAAGTTGGATGAAAATAACTATGTGTGCACAGTGGCTACCTAGACAGTATCAATCATGTCTAACTAGATAGGCCGAACTATGACCGCACCCTACATCCAAACGACTTTATTTACGCAAGCCCATGCGCACTCCACCCTTGTTTATCAGCGTTCCATAAGAATACTCCCGTTTATTTATAGCATGGAATCCTAATACCTTCGTTTCGAGACACCGTTTTTAAGACCACCACCACAGACCACCTATGACAAATATTCTACAACACAAAACGACTAAGATAGTAATGATATTTTAGAGACGCTTAAATGGTGATAGGTAAAAAAAAATCTAGATCACACAACATGATAATTGAATTTTTTATTGGTTTAGTTTCAATATAACGTAATAGTAGATTATTATAAGAGTCTATTTGTGTTCATAATTGAAATTAGTAATTTAATTATGATTGACAGACAATAATAAAAACACGGCCGGAACACACAAAATTAATTAAAAAATATTTTTTCCCGGCTAGAACAGAAAATGTTATTTATGTCTCGCCTTGGTACGCTATATTGACAGACTTTTTGAACGAGAGAAGTGAAAAAATATAATCGGATACACCGACATTTTTTTTCTAAATTGTATTTAAAAAAAAAACAATATTTTACATATAACACAACCGCATTTAGTTATGTTACTATTGAGTAATAAAAGTACTCCTTTACCTCGCTTATTGATAATTTTTTAAGCTCCTCGATACAAATATCTAGGCGAAGTACTTTTAAAGTCGACTTTTGATATAAGGTTGAACTAATTCCGAAATTGTTTGTAAGAAAATGGAAGTTATTTTTTCGTTTTAATAACCTAAAATTAAGAAAGTACCTAAACCAGAACTCAGGTACTCGGTTTAGTGCAAATAAAGCAGAAGTATGTATAACTCGGTATAATATATTGACAGTATACGTACTTCTACCTGTTAGTAAAAGAATAAAAAAAAAATTTAATGAAAAATGCTTAAATAATCCACTTAGTCCATTGCACAAAGTGGTTTTTATAAGTACTATCTTCTTTGAAAATGTTTTTTTAAGGTGACCGCTATGTATGCCAGCAGTTAATTTTATTGTAATTAATTATTTTACGTGTATAAGTTGCATCTCATAGTAATCTATGCAACCTATTCGCATAAATGCAGAAGTCATACTGTCATACTGATCTTAATGAAATTAGTATAACACAGGTGCATTACAAAGCTCAGAACAATTTGTGTAAAAACGGAACTACTTCTTATGCATTTTTATCAAAGATAGATCGACATTGCCGACATAAGTGGACAGGAAGTTATATAGAAAATGTTGAGTGCAGTCTATTCCGCAAGTAGTCTATTAATTTATTAGCTATTATTATGAAACTAAGCCTAACTAGTTTTAGTAGTTAGTGTTGAACTTATTGATAAACACAACTTGATATACTGTGTTTACATTACATTACAATAAATTAGAAATCGCTTCAATGCTGATAAACGTATTCTAAATATCAACTATGACATAAACGCGACTGAATTTGGTAGAGAAAAAGGAAATAGTATTTTGGCACCTAGCTCCTGAGATGATAAATCAAATAGCCCGCATTTCGACCAATAAAGTTTGACTCCTATTATTTACGAACCGGAGGGTTCCGCAAAAACATTAACTTTTAAAAGCCATAAGACGATATGGTTTCCAGTAATCTAGGTAAAGTACTATTTTCTGCATTTTATTCGATAAAATTTCGAATAATATGACTGTAGTATGGAGATATAAGGATAACAAGGGTTCCGATTTCCTTTCGGTGCTGTGCCTTAAAAGTATAAATTTATTAACAAATTCGTTCTTCTGATAGATCACTGACCTTACTGTCTATAAATTTATTTTTATAGTATCATAATAATAAATAAATTTACATTTATAGTATCATAATATTAAACATTCATGTGTTCATTTCACATAATGGACTGTCTATTTTAATGTGACTTCTACGAAAATGGTGAAAATTTTGGTACAAAACAAAATGCCGACTTAGAATGAAATTAAACTATAACTATGGTGCATGTAAAAAGTATTTACGAATGATTTGGGTAACTAAATAACTAACAACAACAACACCATTTTGAAAAACTATAGATACACACATAACTTATATAAGGAATAAAAAATGTGGTCGGATGAGTAAAAACATTGGAATTACTCAATTTTACTATGTTAATGTAAATTGAAAGAAAAAAGTTTTTCGCAAAATTACTGTGGAAGAAACAAAACACATTCAATTTAAATAGAATAAATCGGATCAAAGGAATGGTATAAAAAAGTGAAACTAAGTACAGCCGCCGATCTAGTCGTGCGCCACATCTAGCACTTACGATGCGAGGAAGTAGCCTTCTTTTCCGAAGCCAGCTCGGTCTTTTTAGGAGTATCCACGTCGCCTGAGTTGCATTAAAACACAAAAGAAGCATTAGAACATCAATTTTACATACACACGCGTGATGAATTTATAACTTTGGCGAGAGAAAAGGAAGACTGCGAACAAAAACTGTGATATATCCGAACGAGCGTACGTTTACCAGTAATTATTTTGACACTCACTGATGGTACGTCGGAGTTTCTTACAGAAAGTGGAGAGGCGGTCACGGGCACGGCTCAATTGGCCGCTTCTATCACTATCAAGTAAACGAAGTAGGGAGGGTTCGGAACGCACTGTGGGCACTTCGCCGGCGGGGCGTAAGCCCACCGCGGCGGGTCCCTCCGAGACTCCTAAGTTTTCGAACCATACTGGTCCCGCGGAACACTCCAGTTTGATAGAGGATCGCACGCGAGTGCGCGGTGTAACAGACTGCCGGTCTCGAGTGCGACGGCTGTGACGACGCCGACTCCGCCCCGCCCCGTAAAGGACGACCCTCACATAAAGCATACTGTGCTAATTCTAACTTCGTAAAACTGGCTATAGTCGAAGCCGTAACTTCTGTCATATCGCACGTATAGCTGTACCATATAACTTTTGATAGATCAACAAAGTCGCTTATCAAAACACTTCCAAAAATTAACGTCTCGTCACATAGTTTGACGAGCTCTCAGATGACAATAAATTATATGAGGTTATACATTAAATGGCAGATGGGAATAAACCGACATTTATATGGTAGTACTCTTTATAATTATTATCATAACGTCAATAATCATTATTTACTGCCTTTATTAATTCATCATTTCACTATGATCTTAACCAAATTTTTACCTACACACGTATGCTAGTCGGTCCTTGTCTGTTTATTTATAAACAGTCATTAACCTTTCATCGAGTAGAACCAGCAAAATTTTTGTTATAAAAATAAGAATTGACGCCCTTCGCCCCTATATTAAGGTCAAGTTACTGCGAAATATAAAAAGAAAAACCAGCCAATAGATTTTCAGATTCTCGCACAAAATTATTATATTTTGATTAATTTTGCATTCACAATGCCATAATGTTTCGCGCAAATAATTGATGTAAAAAACCGCTTTTTTTATTAATTTCATTTAAGGTTTAAAGGTCTATTGAACGCGCCAATTAGGCAAAAGAAAGGAATTTTAGATTTCTTCGTAAACAAAGAAACCGTATGAACCATCGCACACATGTACACGCCGAATTTTTAACAATTCGGCTTTTACGGAATTATGTCGGCTGTCTTTAGATGAAAATTCGATTCGACTGCCTTGTTCGACTTTAATAAGATCACCATTAAACGTTGTTACTTGCCAAAGTTCATAATCCTAGTTCAATTACGACTCTCTAGAAAGTTTCGAAATATGCGTTTTTAGGGGCATAACCATAATTTTTTTACAGTTTTATTTTCACAGCTTCAAGGGCCTTTATAGATTTGCTGTTTTGATTTCAACTCGACATCTCCACGCGTTCCCGAAATTGTCTTAACAGAGTACAAACAGATTGAAACAAAGTGATTCATAAATAAATTCTCCGTTTTTTCCTTTGAGTTGCTTAATTCTATAATAACAAAAAATAATCCATGTTGAAACAAATTAATAACAAAACTAGCTTATATGGTACTAGCTTATATGGTACTAGGTATATGGTACTACTAGCTCACATTAATACTGTCTACTTTTAGTAAATATACCAACTGGTTCTATACCAAATTCAACTGGATATTTAATTGATTGTTCAATCGATATAATAATGGCATGGTAATTTAAACAGGGGGCCAATTCTACTAAATAAATTTTGTTTAAATCGAAGCGAAAACGGATCGAAATGGAACGAAACTACAGTTTTTTATGGATTTTTCCAGTTCTATTTTAGCTGGAAATGTATCGTATGTCACTTAGTAGAATAGGAAAACCATTAAAACTGTAGTTTCGTTCGGTTTCGATCAGTTTTCGATTCGATTTAAACAAAATTTATTTAGTAGAATTGGCCCCCAGGTAGCAAATATGTGACGGGCCATTCGCTTTTCTTTAATCAGTATCACCACGCATGCACAACGGCGGCGTGTCTACCTTTTTATATAACCAGTGATAATTTTATTTCTTATGACGTCATTGACAAACAACTCTAAATCACCCTATGTATAAAAAAATTGGAACGCAGATTTGTGATGTATCACAAGTATCATAAATATATTCAGGTGTACATTCTTAACTACCAACTCAATAAAAACTGTACCAATGCAATTATTTCCGATATCTCTGTATCATAGATAAAATAGGTCAGTTGCACAAACATTAATTAAGGTTTAATGAGACTTTAATTCTAAGCTCTAATGAATGATCTCAATTTGATAATTTGTATAGGTAACGTGGCTTTAAACTAATGACAATTTTAATGGACGTTTGTATAACTGGGTTAATGTCTCAAAACACAACAAAGTCAAATAAAGTAGGTACGCGACAAATAATGTATTTTTAGTTAATTATTCGCAAACTATTACGATTATTAACGCTGCATAATTCCCTGGGCTATAAAAAAATAATATACATAATTACAACAAATTACAAAAATGGAAAATGTAGTGAAGTTTTAGAGGAACTTTGTTTTTTATTGTATCCAGAATATTTTATTAATTTACGTTCTGGCTGAGAAACCCTTAAAATATGATGTAGTTTTCTTATTTTAAACTATTCGAAAGTTTTTTTGCATAAAATCAGTTTAAATTTACTGAGTTTTGCTATACATAAATATATTGCGCCCTCTTAAATATGCTAAAATTTTATGATCTCACGTTTTGGGCCAATCACTTAGCTTAAATATTATGGTGTAGTTGTAGATCACCTTTAAAATAAAAATTTATTCGACTGTAACCCATATGGACTTTCTTTAAATATTTTGATTGATATCTGATTAAAATGAGCGCTCTTTTAAGAATCCTGAGAAATAAAAAAATATCTATAAATAAAAAAACAAGCGGTTTAACTATATCATATCGCTGTAATCTAAAATCATATAATCCATCAATATTGATTAAGAACGCTATTATTTTAATTTCAAAGTTTTTTTTTTCTAATTTGTCCTATTCTCAAAGTTTAATTCCTAGTCGCGTAAAATGTAATGCATGCACGATTGACCGCTAATAATATTACGGTCACGGACGCTAGACAATTGGATTAGAACATTCGGTGAAGTTTGTTGGGTTCACATCGAAACACGAAAAGAACCCACAGACAGCATGCGTTGAAATTCGATACGCTTTCATATTATGGTATTGGGGCAAGATTAAAAAGATTGAACAATGCCGTATGAAGGACGATGTTGACAGTTTCACACAACGTTAAAAATATTTTAAAATTATAAAAGTGCGGGCTCAAAACTTTAAATGTTCGAGAGACCACTAAGTTTACCAAAAAACTATAACGAAAAAAAACAATGGCGAGTCCGATTCGCGCAAGAAACGTTCCGTACCGTAAACGAACAAAAAAAACGTTTGTTGTATGGAAATTTAAATATTTGTTTAATTTTAATTTAATTATCTATTTTTAAACTTACTATAGAAATACATATTCTATAAATATTTCAAACGTCTATCTGATGTCGTTATCAATATCGAACAAGCAAAAGAAATTACGTTTGTTGTAGGTATGGGAGCCCCTTTAAATATTTATTTTATTCTGGGTATTAGTAGTTGTTGTTGAAGCGGCAACAGAAACACATCTGTGAAAATTTCAACTAACTTTCACGGTTCATGAGACAGCCTGGTGACAGTGACAGACAGCGAAGTTTTAGTAATAAGGTTTTACCATTTGGGTACGCAACCCTAAAACAGTGTCAAATAGCGACTATCTATTAGCTCATTTTATTCTACTCATCACACCCTTTAATTTTATCAAAACCAAAACTGTAAATGAAATTTCAGGTCAATCAGTCGCGAATAATTGAGTCAAAAACCTGTTTCAACTTTTTTTTACCAACTCGTATAATTTTGGACAATCGAAAGCATACAAGCCGATGGCTACGCCACTAAGTTTGTATCAAGACCTGTTTTTTCTTTGTTTACAACAGGAGCAAAACATAACGTAACGTGTAAACTCTATAGGCAGCATACTCCTCTCATAATTTAATATAAGGAATAAAATAAGAATCTCGTATTGTTTTGTAACATTCATATATTTTTTTGTATCGCATATTTTGATAGTTTATAATAGGTACTACTTTTGTTGTAAGAGGGTTGAAGAGCTTTAGATAATACACAATTACCCGATAGAGTTAGTGCTCACACCAAAGATAACAAGAGAAAATATTATATAAGAGAAAAAATCTAGAGGTTATATTGTGAATATGTGAAATTCATTTATTGCTTAAATTTCTAGTTTTAACTAAAAATATATTGTATGTGTACATTATATTAGAGTATATCTATCTTGCTTGTCACGGTCATGTTATCGAATAGCAAACATATTAACAGGGATATTTGTACAATCAAGCAAATAACGCGCAATATAAAAATTAGATAACGATTTCAAAATGCATTCATAGTAGACAAAGTGACATAGTGCGGCATTATTGTGACAGGTCGCTGCGCAACCCCATTGTGCTAGAAAGGTGATACCAGTGAGGTTCTCTACGGTTGGAGCGCACACTTTTGAATCTAAGTCTCCATTGTGACAATTTACACCAACCGCGGATAATAGGAGAAACAGGTCCCCGCGTCCTCATGACGCATCGCATACTTTAATAATCCTTTTCATTGTTTTCACTTCACTTCACATTTCGTACAATCATCTGTCGTATCAATCAATACAAGCTGGTGCGTCATGAAAGAGACACTATGTACTGCCCGATATTATCGCAATGGTTATCAAAAGATGTATTTCTCAAGTAATACCTTCATAAGACTATAGTTGTGAATATTTATTTCATATTTACTTCTCGACTTCGTCAATGTCAGATAATTTTTTCTAAGGTTTCAGTAAACAGTTTCGTAGGATAATATTTAATCCTTACGATGAAATCACATGCAAATTTTTAGTCGAATAAAACTAGTCACTAAAATTCAATAAGTTAATTGAAAACAATACTATATTAATTTCTGAAGTTTTAGTTACCTTCTGTATTTTTGCAAACAATCGACCATGATTAAATTTCATAAAATGCATTATATTTTTTAGCCATTGAACAAAATTTGTTTAAAAAGTGGTAATTTCATAATACCTCGCCTTATCCGCTCGATCATGGCCCAGACAAAAGTAAATCATTTCAAACACTTCATCGGTAATTTCCTTTTCTTTTAGACTGCGCCCAAAGACGAAGAAAAAACTTAACGAAATCAATGGAACAGTCAATGAGACAGATAGGGACAGAGGACGGCGTAATGCGCAAAACAGAGCGACGACAACTATGTTTATTA